ATTTTGAAACAAATAAGAAAAAAAAAGAAACAAATAACTCATTTTAAACATAATCAAACGTATACATTGTATATACGTAAAATAAGACTGTACAGTCTCTAAAATTTCCAGTTATATCTCTAGTAGAACTTGAACTTATAAGAAGAACATCGTTACCTGCAAAAGTTCGAAAGGGATAGATCAAAACGATGAGAAAAGCACATCCAAAAGGCTCGGCAAGGATTGCAAACTTGGTTGAAGTCAACTCCTCTTACTGTGCCACTCATTGTTTCCATTTTTCCTCTTTTTCTCACTCGCACACATAAACGCCCTCATTCGTTAACCACGTGTTAGTCGTGAGTATGGATCATACAAGAATCGATCAGAAATTATCGATAACGGAGGGGCAAAGAAAACGTGGTAAAGTATACATTAGACTAACGGGTGAAAATGTTGACACGACCAGAAGGCGCCACGCATGAGAACTGGTGTTCGGAATGTACTTTATCTCTTTGCCTGGCACCTGATATCGAAGGCTTATCTCTCTTTCATTCCCTCTCTTTCTCTTTTTCTCTTTTATCCGCAGGTCTCATTCTTGCGAAGCCAGCAAATGCACGGACCATCCTGTTATCTATATTACACCTATCCATAATCACACAACTTGATAGCGTCACAATGTTCACCCATGATTACGTTTACATGAACTCGTTTAGGTACACTAAAGAAAAAAAATAGCACGTTTAAAAAACTGTTTTTTTTTTCTTTCGACAATATCTTTCGAATGAATGCGATGAAACAAAAAACCAAACATCATTGTACGAGCTTGTTATTTTCAAATGTTAAGAAAAAAACAAGGTATCGGAATGAAAGTGACATTAATTAGCAGCTTAATCATGTTAACGAGAGAATATGAAATAAATAACACATTTTGTTTATATTCGATCCGATCAGTGAAAGTATATATATATACATGTTAAAAATTCAATTTAGTTTATGGAAGCAAACGTTAAATAAAACGCTTTGGAAACGCATGAGTTCATTGCTATCAATGTCGAAACATACCGACGAGCATCTGTTCGCTTTACGCCCCTTTTATCATGAACAAATGTCACTATATTATTATGGCCAACTTTATTTACATGCGAGACGATGAAACTTATCAAAAAGTATATACGTATATAAATGATTTTATCAACATTTTATCGTTACCTCTACTTACGTTTATATCGAAAGTAAAAGTTAATAGTACGTGAATAAACGCACACATCCCTAGTCTATTTAGGTATATATATATACTTACTTAGGTTCGTATAATCGAGCAATATCTTCTCGGGTGATATCGTTCAAAGAAGCTAATTTATGAGGTCATCTCGATAAGCACGTGATCTGCAAGCGAGTTGATGCTGACCGGAGTTTTGTTTATTGTCTATTTATATTCACTATCAAGGTGGTACATATACGTATGTAGTACGTAACTTTGTTGGAAACCATATAAAGTATGTACACATATAGTTACATATACACGTATATATTTACGCGATGAAAGAAAGACTGTGAGTACACGTAAGGCCCCGCATACCGTGCGTGCGATCACACGCGCGATAGACAACCCCTTCGGTGAGTCACCCACGGCAAATAAAACAAAGAAGTCGATCGGCTCTTTTAAGACTATATGTATATATACGTATGTATGTATGTATGATATAGGAACGTATGTATTTACTTATATACATTTACACTCTACCTTTTCTAACATTCTATTGTATCTTTTAAGAATTTTATCTTACCAAGTGAATGAAGTATTTTCTATTTTCTTTGAGAGATTTATGTATTTTATTTTCAACATCGAAGTCGAGTGTATTTTAGTGATCATACGTTATTTATTATCACGAACGCATTTGGCAAACGTTAGAAGGTAAAGAGTAGAACGACACGTAATTAGATCGCACGCTGATAAACATCGATCCATTGTTCTCTTTCTACTCAAATGACAATTGTCAATCTATTTGCGAGAATTATAAGCAAATTAGTATATATTTGTGTATGTGTTTCTACTCGTTCATAAACGAGTTCTATAAATTGTGCAAAACGTATGTAGATACTGTTATAGCAATTACTTTTCTTTTTTTTTTTTGTACTCGAAACTGGTCTCCTTTTCACTTCCACATTCCAAATTCATGCTTTACTTTTGTCATTGTATATTCGTCTCCTTTCTTGCATGATTTCTCGTCCATTATTGGAATACCGTAAATATATAGAATATCTATATCGTGGTAACACTCAAACGAGTTAGCCTTTGGGCTTGACGATGATACCCGATGTAGTTTATCGATTCGGAAATACATAGTAAGATAATCGATGATGGGATCAGTGACCGTACGGATAATCGAAAGTGCGCTTGCCGTAGCTATGTATATGTATTCGAAAGTGCGTTCTATACTTGGATAATCGAGATTCTAAGGAGCGAGGAATTTATGTATGTAGCGCGTTCGTGGGAGTATCACGGACATTACAAGGTGACTCTTCTCGACTGACGACAGGAAATTGTGTTGTTGTATTTTAATAATTTAATGAGCTGATCGTTAATAATTAAAAAAATTATTTATATATATATATTAATATATATTATATATATTAATATATATATATTAATATATATATATATATATATATATATATATATTATATAATGTAATTATTAACGATTAGATACATGTACATACTAATAACGGGAAACAATAGAATATCTTTAACAAGCACTATAATTAAATTTGTACAATATTTATGAATTTCGGATAACAATAATTTTGTTTGTAGTAATTACAATAGGATGTATTGAATTTGTCTTGATTTGTTCCATAATTGTTCTGTAAGCGTAAAATCAAATTCTGTTTAAAGAAATATTAATAACATTAATATTTTTGAAAATATTACTTTCAGATAAACGTTCTCAGTTCTATTATATTATATACATAAACGCGTCTGCTATATATATATATATATATATATATATATATATATATGTGTGTATATATATATATATATGTCTGAATATATAGAATTTCCGACTTTCAAAAGACAAGAACAATTTTAATTATCCGATAATTAGTAATAATTTTCTATAATTATTTCATATACGCCAATTATATTAAAATGAAAAGAGAAACCTCTTGAAAAATAATTTTTAAGAAAAGAGAAATAGACAAGAATTTCAGAATTTTGTTACGTTCGAATAGATTAGGAAAAGAACCTTGGAGTTGCTTGGATAAACACAACGAATTTTATTTCATGAACGGTAGGGACGGTCTCTTCCGGTCGTCAGGTGGACGTCCCTGTGGTCGGTGAAGCGACAGGAAACGCAGGTGCAACAACGGCCGCCACTGAATTTACTCTACCTGAGAGCCAGTTCGAAGATGTAAACGCTCGTCGTTCGTTCCATTTCTCTTTTATGCAGTCCGTACACGTCATAGACCATAAAATTCGAGGAACTTTGGGTTAAGGGAGCGTAGCACGATGTCAGGTAGACGTACGCATACATAAACACACGCACAGTCAAATACACACACACATATTCGAAGTTAATATAGTGTCGCTAGATAGATCTCGCTTTTAAGGTTTTCCCTGTGTGAACTGATGACGTTACCTCCATTCATGAGATTCACTATACCAAAGGGGAGTGCCGTACCGTGCGCCTGGAATTTTTTTTTTTTTGGTCGATTCCTAAAGCCCGCTTTACTCTCGTCGAAGGCGAAAGTCATCCGCAATACTACGTACACGTCATGCCAAAAGCATTACTTCTTCTTTTTTCTTCTTTCCTTATCCGATCAATCGAGAACTCGTTCGTTTCATTTCATTCAATTGATCATGCCAATTCGATATATTTTGATTTGTTATCGAGTACCGATAAGAATTTCAAATTCGTTAAATGCGCTTCGAAAAATTCTACGAAATTATCACAAAAATATTTCTGTGACTAATTGAAAGTTGGATTTCTTCAGAATACCATCGGAGAAAGCAACTATGTATAATATAATGAGATAATAAAGATTCCTAATGATTTCTATTATCTTCTTTCACGATTTCGAGAAAGAACGATGAAAGTTTTTTTGAAACAAAATAGTAGATGATAAAGAAAATTACTTTTTGTCGGAGAAGATAGAGGTGTGTTCTCCTTAGAAGCTATAACATACCTAACGGGAATCCGAACGTGTATAGTAAGCCGTTTAATGTAATTCTAATTGACTTGGCCAAGTTCATTTAACTTGATCATACTGTTACAGATTCGTCGTGGATAATATAATAGATTTCGATAAGATAATAGATTTTATAGAGGCCAATAATTCGATTAACATTACAATCCGATTTGTTTCCTGGTAATATATAACAATATTGAATAATATTGATGAATTCTTGGAAAATTTTGAGATATCGATATAAGCATCTTCTTGAATACATTCTTTGGATCGTATAGAAATGACCTTGAAATATTTCTTATCTTCTTTCAATAAAAAGAAATACGATTTGAAAATAGAAAATTTAAGGTACGTTCATAATGTTCATTTCGAATATGTGAAAATGATATTTATCCGAAAGATGTACACTGTTTTACCTCAAATCGATTACTCGACAGGTGTACGAAACGGTTGAGCAGCGCCATCTAACGTTCGACGAGTAAAAAGTTGTTTTTTTTTTTTCGTGGACGGTAAAGAAGAAATAGAAAGAAAGAAAGGAAGAGTGAAAATTAAACGAAGATTTCAACGCGTGGCGCGCATACCACTATGCTCAACGATATTATAAATAATCACAATCTTGATGACAAATGTAAAATATTCGATATATAGCATGAGATCTTATTGCATTGATTTTTCTATTTAAATCATGTAACCTAACGCTCGAATCATCTTTACATTTTGTTTGTGCATCGGCCATCGTATCAACCAATCATGGAAGAGCAGAGATGTACGTACTACATAAATGTGAAAATGTAAGCTGGCGCCATTAAAAGAAATAATTTGACTAACCTGTAAATTGCTTCGCGTTCGTCCGGTGGATTAAGAAAATTGCCGTCGTTCACCGCTGAAGACGTCGATCCTCGCGGCGACCTCGGGCCGCCCTCCGGTTCTCCAATCAGGACCTCTGTCCGGCCATTTTGGAAGGGACTGCTAGCACGACGTTCCCCTACCTTGCTGCTCTGCACTGGTTGCTGTGAAGTGATAGATTCGATCAGTATCGTATACCGTAAGTATTTCGATCATATTAATCATATTGATCTCGCATGATTAATCATTTGAGATATTTTATATAATATAATTATATAATTATTATATATACTATTTTATTTCTATTATTTATATACTGTACGTATATATACTGTATGTACTGTATTATTTCTACGGAAGAATAATTATCCTCTTTAATTCCATTTCTCATTTACATTTTACAAATAATATTACAAATAATTTTTTAAACTGTTATTATAAACAAATACACATTTCGAATATAGTACTTTATTTTTATTATATAAGTATGCATAACACTTTTCAACGGATAAATGGATTATTTCTTTTTTTTATTATATCGATTCTTATTTATTCGCCAGAATTTTTTCTTGTTTTTTTTTTTTAATTAATAGTAGTCTAACTCCATCATTAATGTCGCTAGAAGTTGCACGCAAGTTTCGCCATCGAGAATTCCAATAAATAGATACAAGAAGATAAACGTATAGTCATTACTTTTAAATGTAAAAACATGTTGTTAATACGTTAACGTATTTACATATATATGAATCATGATATTTTTTCTTTTTTTTTCTTTATATTGAAATACGATGTATTTATCGGCCGATGTATCTATCGAGCAATCATGATAAATCAAGGACACGTGTCTATTGGAGAAGAAGGAATCGATATACTTATCCATATATACACATGTTGTCATTTGAACGTAATTATATACTGCGATTTATAACCTGACTGTTCGATCTATCATGATCTTATTTAAATTATTGAGGAATCTGAAACTGACCAAAAGATTCGTTTCATCTGATGAGGTTTGTTGTTTTTCCAAGATGTCCTTTCGTTCCTGCAAAGTTTTTCCTTCTCGCGTATCCTGACCGTCCTTGGTCAATCCTTTAGGAATCGTACCGTTACTAAGTTTTGTGAAGAAGGTGTTCGTATTACGTACATCCCTATAATAAAAATAAATAAATAAATAAATAAATAAAACATTTGATACGAAATACTCATATCAGTTTAAATATCAAAACATTGTCAGAACAAATTTCAAAGTTGACTAGGCATAACTACATATGAACACATGAATATAGAGTGGACTTTGAAAGAAGATGATAGTACGTATATCAACAAAGTGAAGTTATGAAAATGAGAAAGCTATGAGGTGTCACATAAAAGACAATTTATATCAAAATAATGACATTCTAGATATAATTATTATGCAAAAATGAAAAAAGCAAAAGTTAAGAATCGAATGATTTCATCAAAAGATCATTGAAAAGTATCCTTCGAAGTAAAAATCCTAAAAAGGCTACTCTCACTCAGCTTAAAGGATAAAATCAGAAAAGAACTTTCTTCGTTTCGCAAAGAATTTAAGACGGTCAATCTCGAGAAGTACTTACTCATCCGCGAGGGTCACGGTGACCTGATTACTTGTTACATCTTTTCTCGTGCTCTCCTCGCTCGTGGATGCGCCAGTCTCGTTTATCTGCGGAATTAAAATAGTCCGTTATGAATAATTTATCATTTTCGTGAGAAAGGAAAGAGAAAAAGAAAGAGAAAGAGAAAGATAAAGAAAAAGAGAGAAACGGATGACGCAAAATACGATCCAAGTACGATAGTGATATAAAACTATGATAACTTTTAGATATCGATCATTCGAAGACATTTAATGAGCATCATTAATGAGACACAAACATACACACACACACACACACACACATATATATATATACATACGTATGTAAGTATATATGTACATATATGCATACGCGTCACGGGAGAAGCTTATAACCCCTACATGGCGCATCCATATATACATACATACATATATACATAGATATATACAAATATACGTACATACATACATGTATGCATATATATATATATATATATATATATCTACATACATAAATATATGCATATTTACTAAAGAAAAACCGCAGCAAAATATAAGAATTGAAAATAAGAAAAAAAAAATAAAAATCCTGAAGCGTAATAGTTGATGGTAGGTGGCTTAGCCTCGAGCAAAGCGCAACGGCTTTGTAATCGTAATTACAACTTGACGCAAACAGCACGTTCGCATATTCACCTTCGCATTCCACATTTCATAGACGACCCTACTTACAAAATGGTCAAGTGTCGATAAATTTCTTTTTTCTTATATTTTTTAATGACAGTGATCGCACCTCCTATAGCTTCGTTTGTGACGTTCGACGTTAAGAAAGAAAACGGGGATTGATCGTTGCCCGATAAACCATATATGTATGTATGTATGTATATATGTACTTACATATATACATTGTCACCATATATAAATTTATCTCGACATCACTGTATTGGGTCTAATAAGACGAAATTCATGTTCCGTAGCATGGGCAAGGGTACACATAAATAATATATATATATATATATACACACACACATAACGCACACATACACAACAGATACATGTACATGTATGTACACAATCATATGACGTGTGCAAAAGTGTACCTATTTTTCCGATACGTCAATACGATCGATCGTCTACGCTTTCTACACTAACGCATTATACTTTATAGTTGAAAAGTTTTTTCTTCTAAAACCTATTTTTTCTTTTTCCATTTTGTTTATACATATTTCATACACCTCTCTGCACGTTACACAGTGAGATATTTGTAGTGCAAAATTCAGACAAAATTCATAACTTAACAGCTGTTTGATCGATTGGCTTCAAATTTTCTTCAGTGCATATTTTATTGTAGCCTGTATCAGAATTAATCAAACATTTTTTTTCTTCTTTTATATTTTTTTTAGTCCACTATTTTTTCAGCTATCGTTTTTTTTTTTTCTTTACATTTTTATATCCGCTGTAGTTAAAATAGTCCTAATTAAGAAATATATTATGTTTTTTTTCTTTTTCATTCCAAGTGAGAAGAACAGTCAAAGTCGCGTAGGAAGTCGCTTTTTTTTTTAACGAATGCAATATCACAAACTTGAATCATTCCTCTTTCTTAATATATATGAATAAGCATTTGTATAAAGCAAATTTTGACGTAAAAAGTTGTATAGCTGTTTTATAAAAAAAAAAAAAAAAAAAAAAAATCCCGAAAATTGTTTTAAAAAACGCACTTTACAATAGTATATCCCTTTAAGAACATTTTCTAATTACTACAATACAATTAATTTTCGTTAGAAGATTCATTCAAAGTTTCTCCCTCAGATATCTCTTCTTTAATATATTATATAGTATTAATTCGTTATCTTTGATAGGTATAGATTCAAGAGGAAGAAGCAAATCTAGAGTTTTCTTTCTCAAAAATGACATCATTTTCTTTCCCCGAATTAATCTTATTACAAGAGACAAAAGGAAGTCAGAACTAAATAAATGTTTATTACACACGAAATGATTTATTTCTCATTTCTGCTACCTTCTGAGAATAATTCAATCAGCCAAATCGTATTTTCAACCATTTCAGTAGTACAAGAATTAATATTTTATGAACTGTGGGATTCATAAAGTATCACGAATACAATTGTACATATATTTCTGCAGTATATATAGGAAATTTTTGTGTATCAATTTTACGACAACTCGATATAACTTTCAATATTAATTTAATTTTATATGTCAATTGTATTATAATCAGCGTCAATAAATTAAATCATTGCAATTCTTAACTAAATTAGCTTTGAAATTTCAATTAAAATGCATTCGGTACTGATTTTTTATTGCATTGTAATCACAAAACTTTACCAAATATAATGATATAAGAATAAGCATGGGATACCATAAGATATTATAAAAAAAATCGTTAATTAAATCTTAGAATCGTAAAAAAAAAATGATTGAATTTATTACCTTCAAATATTAAATATACGAATATATATGATAAAAATATAAAACTGTTCGAAAATGAATATATTTTCTATATAGCAAAAATGTACATAACTTTTTGGAATATACAACAAAAATCGTCGTTAATTGTACAATGTTTCATAGGATTTTTGATATAGTTTATTACTTCGTCGGAGTTCGAATGAAAAAAAAAGAAAAAGAAAAAAAAAAGAATTTGATACATTATTTCTCGCACATCCAATAATCTCGAATGATTAAAATTGTAAAGCTTACGCAACATTTTTGAAATTAATTTTTGTACGGCTTTTCCCTGAGAAAATCTCACTGTACGTATCATCACAAAAACGCGAGCTAGGACGAATTATCGTGTGTTTACATATGTATAATATTTTTCTTTCTTTCTTTCTCTCTCTCTCTCTCTCTCTCTCTCTCTCTCTCTCTCTCTCTTTTTGGTGTTTACGTTTACATAAATAAGCTCCATGCATATTTCATTACAATCTCAAAAAGTAAAAATCATTGATATCGTGAAAAATATATAACTCTTGTTGAAAGTGATCCACCTACCTGATGATCTAATATGGCTTCGATATCCCGTAACTGGATGCTTCTAAGGGCAGCGAGCTCTTTCAACCTTTCTCTTACGCCTCTGCGAAAAGATACATTAGTATTAGCATGTTTATGTTCTTACACATTCGTTTTATGTAGTTAAGATTTTATACAGCGAAGTTTACAAGGACGAATAGTTAGACGTTACGTATTATTATATCGTACTATTTGTTGGTATATTTTAATCGATCGAGTTTCTTGTCATTTTTCTCTTTTTTCTTTTTATTTTTTATGCAAAGAATCTTGTTAATAGCTAATAACCTAATAAATAAATAGGTTATCGGTGAGTTTACAATAACTTATATATTGATTTAATATAATATATAGATTATAGAGAATACCAAATGAAAGTTCTTGCATATATTCATGGTATTTAAATTAAGTTATTTTAATCCGTAAATGCATTGTTTCGAAATCATAATATATTATAATGCTTAATGTTGTTAAATGTGCAATGTTACATGTGTAACGATGTAGTTTTCTATTACATATTTTTCAAAGATATTTTAATAATATAAATTTTTCATTATTTCTATGATATTTATTTAATAAAGTCTTTTTCTTTACAAATTTTTCAAAAACTATATCATCCATTAACCGGCTAATAAAATTTTTCATTGAATCATTAATCGATATTATTATATTGCAAATTTTAATTCTATACTTTCATTTCAATTTTATCATTTTTATTATATAAAGATTTAAATATGTATGAAATATCTTCTTACCTTTCGACAGCGATAACCCAACCGTCTCGTATCCGTACAGCATTTGGTCCATCCAGCTCTTCTAGCAAGAATTCAACAAGTTAATTACAGCGAAAATGCCCTGTATTATGTTCTATCGCGTTGCGCGGATAATTAATCGTGCGTAACGAACTACCGGGTACATTGATAAATCGGTTAACAAACGATATTCATTTCTATGACGTTGAAATAAATGTAAATGAGTGAATTTAGGTGATTCGATTGATCAATTATTCGAACTTCGAAAGTGTCCGACGATAAAAGAAAAATAGTTGGCATAGGAGGTGCCAACAAGCTACTATTAATAGTTACACGATCGACAAAACGAAAGCATCGATTCAATTACTCTTTTTACGATCGAAGCATTTTCCAGGGGGTTACGTATCCCTTTTATTTAATAATAATAATCTGTTCATAAGAAAATTTCGAATAAAAATCGAAAAATGTTCGGATCAGATGAGAATGAAGAAAAAAAAAAAAGAAAAGAAGAAAAGAAGAAGAAAAAAAAAGGAAAAGAATCTATTTTGTACCGTTTTTCATGAAAAACAATTCATCGTCGGGATCCTCGTCGTCGATAAACTTAATACTAGATAAATCGAAGTGTCTTGCTAAATCGTTGCTCTCTTCGGCACAATTATCGGACGAGGAGGACGGTACAAGTTTCGAAACGTCGTCGAGAGTGGAATCATTTGCGATATTCGATCGATTATCGCTGTGCGAACGAGAACAGCCGCAAAAAACGAATTTGCGAAAGAACTTTGACATTTCGAAGGATAGAAAAGAAGAGTAGTGAAAAAGAGGGTCAAACTATCTCACAAAAGTAATCCTTCTCGAAGATTAGACTTTCTTTTTGATTAGCATAGAACTCTTCACGTGAACACTTTTATCTCTTTATCTCTCACAGCTTTTATTTCCACTCAAAGTTTTCTCTTTATCGTGACTTTTATGAAGTCCTCACGAACTAAGCCCTTTTCTCTCTCTTTCTTTCTCTTTTAAAATATTCGATTTGATAAGCTTCGAAATATTATTTTATCGTATCTCTAGAAAAATGATTGTGACGATTCGTTTAAAATTGGAAATTAAAAATACCGACGAAACAATCTCTATCTTTATCAACTAATTTTCTTTTTCTTTCCCTTTCTATTAGTTTTTTCTTAAAAAAAAACACTTGGCACAATCGATCGAAGTCAAACGAACATACGTTAAAATCTACATACATAAAGTAATCCTAATAACATACATCGAGTATAACCCCAGTAAAGATTTCTAGCAAGTAGAGCGAATTAATTTCTCGCGAAACGACCTGACTACCGACATCGAAACTGCCTCCTCTTTGTTCTCCTCCCTTTCGAGATGCTTTTACAGTGCTCTGTAGTACGCGCTAATAAAATTGCACCGTCGTTCCTCGGCAATGGATTCAAGGTCACAACGATTATTCTTTCTTCTTCTTCTTCTCGAGTGTGAAGAAAGTAACCACGTACACGACGTATTTTCATTCCCGTCACTTTAAATGACCGCTATTCGTCGTTGAACTAATGCTGTTCGTCACCATTTAAACAAAAAATCTGGAGTCACTAGAAGGAAGAAGATGAGAACAAGAGAGAAAGAGGCAGATAAAGAGAGAGAAAAAAGAGAGAGAGAGAGAAAGAGAGAGAGAAGGAGCATGTAGAAGAGAGAGAGAGAGAGAGAGAAAGGGAGAGAGAGAGAAAGAGAGAGAGAGAGAGAGAGAGTGAGTGAGTGAGGCACACTTCAATTGTATTTCGTTTTCTTGCAGAGGATACTCGAAAAAGCTCTTTTCCACAAGTTAGACAGGGACAGTGGAAGAGCTACGCGAGATGATAAAACTTGAGAGTGCAGAGAAAAAAGGATGGAGAGAGAGAAAAGAGTCCCCTTGGAGTATTTTTCTCTCTCTCTTTCTCTCTCTCTCTCTCTCTCTTTCTATTTCTCTTCCCCTTTATCTTTCTCTTTCTGTCTGTCTGTCGAGGTAAGCACGGATGTAGCTCGGCAGCAGCAGTCGTCTCCGCACGTGTCACGAGACTAGAAAATAAACTCTTCGCTGGCGGAGAGACGAAGCTCAAAGAGGAAGGCGTACATCTGAGAGCGCTTTCGAAGCGCGTCGCATACACGAAACACGGTTTATATTTGGAACTAGTCGCTGGCATAGCCGATAAAAATTAACCACCAACGAACGCCAGTTCAACGTACCTAACGCAATCATTTGCTTTTTGGTTCGATTTTTATAGACTTATGTCGTCCAACCGATCGTGACTATGAGCTAGTTACATCGAAGTAAGATTTTATCGAAGATCAGGTTTGTACAATTTTCTTTCTAAGATTTGATTATTTTTGTTGATCTTTCATGCAATCATGAGTGTACGATCTATTATGTTTTCTTTAGACCTCTATAACAGAGTTTCTCAACCTATGGGTCATGTTAATTTTTTAATTAGCTATGATTACTACTTTAAGACAAAGCAAACTTAATAACGAGAAAAGTAATTAATTTGTAAGGGATTTATAGAACGTTCTTGTAAAATGTTTTGTAAAATTCGTATTTTTGAAATAATATATGGTGACTGAGGTCACTTAAAAATTGTATTTATATGTTACCATTATAAACAAATGTGTTGAACTTTATGACCTAAAGGTTGAAAGACGCTGCTTTATAACATCATATAACTTCGTACTCATATATGCATATTTTTTAAGTGTCATTTCATTTTTTCCGTTTAAATTAATATCGAAAAATTAATGTTTGCGAATTCTTTTTTGAATTAAAAACAAAAAATCTACAATATTGAACTGCATATTTTCTGATCATGCTTTATTATCATTCTATTCTTCTTTCTATTATAATAAGATAGATAGATCAAAGGTAGAAATTAGAACGTTCTAATCGATCTTAAAGTTCGAACCAACTTTATACAGTCCACTAGCCGCTATCGGTCTTTCACTCGAAATGCAAATCTAGTGGTCCTGATAGCTACACGACTATCCTATTAAAAAGTTTTAATTCACTCGTTGCCTATCCCTTTGCCAAAGTAGTAACGATTGAACGGTGCAGTATTAGAGATGTGGTTTCCTTCTTGGTCACTAGGCTAACTTAGGAAATCGTTCAATTTTGTTGATGTTGTTTGAAATAAAGAGGAAAGGAAAGAAGAAGAAGAAAAAGAAGAAAAAGTAAAAAAAGATGAAGAAAAAAAAATGGTTAAGTATAGAGTCGTCATCGGACTGACCTGGTCCCGCTACACGCGAGACTTCGATCATACGAATAGAATCGCTTGATGCGAGAGAAGACGAAAACCAGTTTTCTAACTGTATAAGTCTTTACTACAGATACATATGTATCTATACATATATATGTATATATATATATATATATATATATACATATGTATATGTTTATATGTACATCAAGAGTCTAGATATGGAGCACTCTTTACTGAATCATTACGAACATCTCCGTTTTCTTTTCTTGATGGTTCTCGAAATTTTCACTTATTAAAATTCACGCCGATTTTGTTGGAGTCTCTTTGAAATCAGAACGTGGAAAAAGAAATCGTTTTACTACGTCACGTTTTCGTTCGTACGAATTCATTTCGACGGATACACGCTGTGATATCGCACCCTAACGTACGGATATCCGCAGGATGTCAAATGTCTATTATTTAAAAATCACGAGAATATGAAACGATCAGCTGGAAAAACAGTTATGTTGTTTCTCTCCCTTTTAAATTGTACGAAACGTAACAGGAGTATTTGTATTATTCTAAATAGTTGAGATCGATTATTATAACAATAAATATATTTACTGAATTTTCATTTCTTATCTTTCCTTTTGTTTATAACTATAATATACGCTTATTATATTTATTTATTTATTACACATCGAAATGACACAGAAGAAACATGTAAAATATTTTGTTTTACAAATATACAAATTCATTACAAATCATAGACGTATACGTATATTATATTCTAATATGTATGACAATTTTGTGTAAGTCGGAGTTTTGAGAATTGAATTAAGCAAAATTCGAAAAATTCGAGAGAGATAGAAAAAGATAGATAAATAGATAAATAGATAGATAGATAGATAGATAGATAGATAGATAGATAGAGAGAGAGAGAGAGAGAGAGAGACAAAGACAGAAAGACATGCTTAACATTCGAACGTGACGATTATTCCAAGTGTCGAATATTCATACATAGAAAGTGCATTTCAAGGATCGTATGCGAAAGCGCTTGACTCCGTTTCGCTCTTCTCCCACTCTATCTCTCGTTTGTACGCATGTCTACGTCATTCTGTGACTCTTCGATTATAAATTTTATACTGGATATATATCTGCGTTCACGAAGGTATTGACACTAAAATAAATTTCGATGATAATTTATATTCTGTTCTTGTCGAAATGTCATTCGTTTTTTGTAATTTATTTTTTTTTTCTTTTATTTTCCAAATAGAAACTTAATTTTATATAATATTTGAAAGAGGAAGAATCATGAAATATAAATATGTCGTCTCGTTTGTTTCGATTCTTCCCAGATATGTACATATTTACGCGCAAATATTTCACATATATTTGTGCAGCCAAATATCCGATTGTTTAGCCTATACATCGAAGGACATGAATAATCAATGAATAATAATCAAAGCGTTAACAGTAAGCGATAGTAAAGTCACAACGAAGGACATTGTGTGTTATCTCATAAAGATGAATATATCAAATAGAGGATCATTAAGCACGATTGTAATAATATCATAGAAATTTCTAGAATATTTCATTAGTTTCAAAATTTCACTCTTACATCGTGATCGTTGGTAAACAGCTGTGAGTCATTTAAAACAAAGAAATGCGTGGTCATTTGATTAAACCACAAAAAGTACAGTCGACATTACGATTCTGGTAGAATTGAGTGTTTCGATCACCGTTATTAAACTTTCCTGGTTTTCAAGGTCATCCACTATGACGAGCAAGAATAAAGTAGGAAGTCCTGAGAGATTCATCGTGCGATTAAGCGATCGTTCACGGAGAAGCTTTTTTTTACGATCGAATCTTGAAGTGATGATTTAGAAAAAGAAAATAAGAAAGCGAAAGAAGTCATTTGAATTAACAGTTTGAAAGTTTTTCAAGCTTACATTCCTCGAAGAAAAAAAGATTGTACGTTTATTATATGACTGTACAAACTCACTTGCTCGTTTCCGTTGAAGGATCGTGTAGTAAATCCTACACGATCTAGGTAGCTCTGACTTTTCTGTTACTATAATTTACTTTTTCCACGATGTCCCCTCTGCCGGTTCTTCCTCGCTATCGTTGAAAAATCCGTGACAAAAAAAACTGTTTTCCACGCTTCACCTTGGCACATTATCATATGAGAAATAACGATGAAGATAAAAAAAGAAAATAAACACAAAATATCGTCACTTTACGACTTCAGGATACACTCGAACCACAGACACGGACACAGGATCGACACATAATGAAAGATACACGGAATATGTTCGTTCGTAACGTTTTATATATGTATGTTTTATATGTGTATGTAACATCCGATGATGATCGTATACATGTGCATAGAATGCAAACGAAGAGAACGTTCCTCACTCGCAGCACCGTGACGAAACCTGCCGAGGATACCACCTTCCTACGCGTTTACTCTCGCTCGTCCTCGTACGGGCAAATTATCGCTAAAACATCGGTCAGTCTCTTTTCCTTTTTCCTCGTTAACGCGATCCACCTTAGACATTATTCGTGCAAATTTCGTTATCACTTACAAATCATTAACTCTTTATAGCATCATATATAATTTTTAAGTTACGCACTCGTATATTCTTATTTCATTTTTTATTTTAATCTTTTCTTTTTTTCTCTCTCTCTCTCTCTCTCTCCTTCTTTTTGTTCGTCACAAATTAATTCCCAGTTTGTATCTGAAAATTAATGTTTCCTAAGCATAAGTTATGATGTATAAGTTTATGATTATATCATTTTTATTTTTACACACGTAAAAACAAAAGTTGAGATCATAGAAAACGTAAACTCATTGATCAAAGTAGAAACGTCTGTTTATTGTTTGCCGCTGCCATTTAAGAGTTATCAAGCATCTTTTATTCGACGAGCAATGAATCGTGGGAATACTTTTTCTTAATTAACCAGATCGAATCGATCAATTATTAATTATTAATTATGGAACACAAAGCATGTAGACGTGATACGATACGTTTTTCGGATAGATTTTTCATTTTTCTCATTTTCTTTCATTTTGATTTCAGAACAATATATAATGATTACGTATACGCGTTCCGCTGCGTATTCCGTAAATATTTTCGAACGATTCGCCTCGGAAGCAAACGTAAGTCGATTTCCATTTGATGGAATCGCGATCAGCTTTCTCGCCTTCGAATACTGCAGCGGCATCGAATTCCTTTGGATATAACGATAGTTTACCCGTAAGGGATTCATCGCTACATGCCAATTTTTCGTTTACAATTATATAATAAAAAGAAATTAAATAGGGTTAGAGAGAGAGAGAGAGAGAGAAATGGAAGAGAAATATTTGAGAAAAATTCGATGATAGTACAAGAGACAGAGAAAGAAAAAGAGAAAGAAAGAGAGAGAGAGAGAGAGAGAGAGAGAGAGAGAGAGAGAGAGAGAGACGATAAAAGCTATCGTACTCGAGAGAATGGAAGAAACATTCGTTGAATTTGTCGTCGTGACGGTACGCGCTGTTAAACCTCGAACAAATGCAATGATTTTCGAAAGAGAGAGAGAGAGAGAGAGAGGAAGAGAGACAAATAGAGAGGAAACACAAATTTATCGTTTCGTAATAGCGTATCGTTACGCGAATAAAACAGGATAAGTAAATGTATAAATAATTTGAATTGATGCGAAAAATAGACTGTGTCGAAATAAAAGTATCTAAATAGAAAGAGAAAAACGTAAGACTAAGATATTTGATACGAATGGTACAATATTCGAATAAGAAAAAAAAAAAAAGTACAGATGATTGGTGAATATTCGTCATTTATATAAAGACTTCAACTATCGATCGATGAATAAGTAATGAAAACGACTAACTACCTGCTCTTTCCTTCCAACGATTTCTTAGAACCACTTAAAGATCAAAAGTCGTTCTGGCTTGTGATAAAATGAACGACGAGCGATTATATGTATGCATGTATGTATGCATATATGTATGTATGTGCGTATATACGTATGAATGTACATATATACTGTGTCAGAGAATCTAAACGATGCTTATTTCACATCACAAATATGAGTTTTATAGATTACATTTATGTAGCAAAGTATACATATATAGGCATGTGTAAGATTTGTTCGACTTTATTGGAATTTTTAACCCATATAAGCATGTTTGAATATCGTTCAAAAACATGACGATTGATATAACGTTAGTTTTATCAATCGTCATGTAATGTAAATATTTATGCAGTGTAATATCTATATAGTGTAACTGTGATAAAAATAATTTGCATAACTTTCGTCTAATTTGAAATAATAATATTAACGTATGATTGCATTTTTTTCTTTTTTTCTTATAGATTTTTATTCACGATAACTTCAGGAGAGATTAAAAAATATTCTTTCGTTTGTCTTTCCGTATCTTTCCGCGAAAATTTTTGCATTCTATATCGTTAAGTATCCGATCGTTCTAAATTCTTGTTAATATATATCCTAACAGTTATTGTTAGTTATATATTATACATTTCTTTTCTTTTTTTTTTTTTTTTTTTTTTTGAGTAAGTAAACAACGTAACGTGTTTTCATTTTACTTCTTTTTTATTCTTTATTTAAATACGACTGATCGATCACTCCCTGTTGATTTAAATTACCAAGAACTAATTCCATAAGTCCATAGAATATTTTCACGATATATATATATATATATATATATATATATATATACACACATACACACACAGACTTATTTACGTATACGTACATAAAGAACGAATTGAGAGAATTAACGCGTATTAAAAATTGACCGATTCTTGACATTTTAACGATAAGTTTTTTTTTTTTTTAATCGATCGAGTTTTTAATTATGCGAGTATTGCATAAAAATATATAAATGACTAGATGAAAAAATGATGAAAAGAAACAAATAAACGTAAATGTTTTCCTTCTATGAAACACTACAAGTATATATAGTACAATATGATATTTTAGAAGAATCTAAACGCGTTTGGTAAAGAACACATTAAAGCATTATTTCAAATCGAATAATTCGTTTGTACGTCAAACAATGAGCTGAAAAAAAAATGATTGCTAACACTAATTATCAATTATTACAATACCAATTAATTCGTATCTATTAAAAAATTCATATCTCTTTATTAAGCATACAAAATAGTCGTTCGATTTTAAATAATAAATGAATAATTTTTAAACCAGCGTATGTACAAACGAGTTACGTTTATCGCGTATCAAGCGGTGACACCATTGCGCTCGTTCGTGAAATCGCTCGTCCGGTTGAACGGACGAATTCGTTGCCACGACACATTCGGAACATCGAGGCTACTAAAGCGTCGAATTTTCAAAGAGGATTTGACAAATTCATGTAAAATAATAACCCGTAGGATGATATCGATAGCGATTTATCCTTCTTGTTTGAAACACATATGTATAGCAATCCAAGGATAGAAGGTGAATAAAATAGAAGGAGAGGGGAACACCGTGGCAGCAGCAAGCAAGTTGAATTCAAGCTCTCGAAGAGCAACGAATAAACGTGAATTTAGCATCGCACTCACGATTTTTAAAACACACACACACACACACATAGACACACACAGATACACACACACACGTATTAATGCACTTAATTTTTCAAAGAGATTAGAAAACGATCATACATTCCGATCTCTTTATTCCTTTTCTTCTTCACTCTGGTATATCCTGGTATCTTTTTTGACACTCACTCACGTAAAATCGGTATACTTATACGGCACGCTGAACGCGAGTCGACTGAGTCTCAGGCAGGCGAGAGCCGCCTTGCGTGAGATCTCCTTTCTCGAATGAGGACGTAGAAGAGGAAGGATAATGCGAATTCGAGGACGAGAACTCGAGGAACACGGCCTTCGAGGATTACGATGAGAATTCGATGGAGAACTCGATGAGAGCTCTGCCAACGTCGCCAAATTCTTTCTCTCTCTCTCTCTCTCTCTCTATCTCTCTTTCTCTCTCCTTAGTTTAGTATTTTCTTTCTCTCTTTTTCTCTCTCTTTCTCTCTCTCTCTCCCTCTCTCCTTAGTTTAGTATTTTCTTTCTCTCTTTTTATTCCGTTCTCGACCCCTACTCCTTACATATACCCCTTCCAAGTATACACCTTCGATTCCACTACTCCACGAGGCTTTCGTTGACGAGCCACCTGAGGCATTTACCTGGTGAACGGCGGAATCGCACGAAACGCTACGGAAGCATACGACTTGTATTGTGTTCTATCTCGTCGTCGTTTCGAATTCGAAGCGGTCGGCTAGCCTCCGTAAAAGTGCTCTGCGATTTCGCGGAGAGGAAAGCGAGTCGCGTGACCGCCACCTGTGCGACCGTTAAACGTTCCGCTTCTGTACTACTCGCAACGAAAAAGAACGAACTGTACGTGTATTGGTCTCTTTTTTAGTCTTTTTCTTTCTTTTTTTTCTTTTTTTTTTTTTTTTTTTTTTCTTTTAGTGTTTCGTTCGAATCAGCGTTTTCTTAGTTTAACGAATTTTAAAAGGGTTGGGGTGGAAACAACGAAAAAGTGTTTGGATTTATCTCAGAGAATTTGAATGCATGATGTTAGCATACACATGTATAAGAACGAATTATTAAGATCAAAAGTTTTTCAAATTATGTAAAGAAAAATTATTATGTGTATAAGTGGAGCAAAATTTTTTACAATTTTTTAGAAATTTTACAGAGATTAGGTCTCGTTACTCAATGTTTTACTTTAACCTATCTAACGTTCAAACATTGCACGAAGTAAATATTGAATTTATTGGAAAACCCACAAATGTAGTATTACATTAAAAGCACTTAGAACTTTTAATCAACTTTGTTTAAATTGTTAAAATTGTTAAAATTATATAAACTTTGAAATGTACTTTTATTTAATTGTATTAAATTATAACTTTCGTATTATTATATTATAAAAAGTTTATCTCTCAAACGTATGTATATACGTCACGAAAAATAAGAGCATACATAGATATATTTTCTTATTTTAAATGAATCGTATGAGGAAAATATTTATCGTATTTTGATTTATCGATAACCGTAAGAATAATTTCCGAAAAATTTCGAAAAGATTCGCCAATGTGGATTCTTTTATATTTTATTATATGCGTATCGAGCATTTGGATCCAATCTTCGATTGGATTCGTAGAGATATCATGTATATGATGTATTTAGAGAAAGAGAGAGAGAGAGAGAGAGAGAGAGAGAGAGAGAGAGAGAGAGACAGAGAAGGGGTGAATAAAAAAGGTCATTTCTTGTATCCTTCTTAAAGAAGAGAGGCGATCGCTCGCGTCAACATCAGAGAAAAGACATTTTGGGCTTCTATCTAGTCTTATCTTCGGTGCACGATTCTTTATAAAACGACAGGATAGAAATAAATTTTCTACTAGGCTTAGAACAAGGCTTCTCATCCGAGCACGTAGCTACGTGTGTTCGTCATCTTATCGAACGGGACGTTAGTTGAGAGATTTCAATGTTCTTGGAATATCTCGAAAAGTTCTTGAGAGCTTTTTTGAATAGGTGCAACGTAGATATACGAGAAAAGTAAAAGAAAGAGAAATGGAGAGATAGATGGATAGAGAGATAGAATGAGAGAAAGAGAGAGAGAGAGAGAGAGAGACAGAGAGTGAGAGAGAAGCTGACGAAACCTTAAAGGTGATATATTCTCCGAGAACTATTGTGTTCTCTCTTCGAGAAGTTATCGATTCGTTGCTCGCTTCTATTCTCTTTTTCGCTAGTGAACCAAAATCTAAAGCTCTGTTCGGCCAACTTCTCTCTTGTTCAAGCTTCTCAACGTTCAAGATATTCCCTCATCAAGAAGGTTCAATAAAATATGCGAATTTTGAGTATTCGTACGAAAATTGTCTTTTGTTTTCTTTATTTTCAGTGAGAAGAGTTATAGCTTATTTTATTTGAGTTTGCGTGAATTTATTCCAACACTTTTCATCATCACGATAGATCTTTATTATCATTCATATTATTATTATTATTGTTATTATTGTTATTATTGTTATTATCGTTATTGTTATTATCGTTATTGTTATTATTATTGTTACTATGAATACTAATACTATTATTGAGATTAAAAAATAATTCTGTGACTTTTGTATTACTCACCGATCCGGCTCTCCTTCCTTCTGCGTAATCGAAGAGATATCGTGCGTGATTTGATGCACTATAAAGAGAATTATATTTAAGATCGAATATCATTCAATTGGCCTGTATCATTTTAATATAAATAATTCGAAATTTATATATATATTTATATATATATATATATATATATATATATATATAAATTTCGTTACATATGTTTCTAAGTTGGTGATTGTTTTCAAATGAAAATAAAGAATGAGATACGAATTGAAGATTAAATAACGTATTGAAAATTAGATAATTACCTGGTGTATGTACTGAATGACTTCCGCGTAGGTTGCATTTTGCAGAGTACGGCCGTTCACTTGGAGAATTTCATCGTCGAATTCCAAACTGTCCGCGTTATCCGCACGAGAACCTGTCGGATCGAGACGTATCGTCAGAATGATCCATTGACGTCTGTGTTTACGTTAGTTATAGTTATACCATTACGAAGCACGCGATAAATCAAGCAACAACGTAGAACGCAAGGTACAAGTCGTCATCGTTGTTGTCATTGAGCATAAAACATGAAGCGATTAGCGTTATTAGATAATAAGAAAGTAGAATTTTTATTGAAAAACGAATGAACGTAACATTACGTAAGACGATAAATCTATAAAATCTTTAAATCAATTTCGACTTCATCACATAATGATTAGAGAGAAAAAGAGTAGTAATATGCGATACTAATTAGAAATAAAAGAGACCAAAAATAAACGAGATCCCTTCTTTAGCGACACCTTACAATATTTATCGTGTTACAATTTTATCTCCGTTAAGTGATGCTTACAAATGGATCCCAAGGTTATCTTTAACTCGACTATTTGGAAAAAGAAGTCCTTCGGACCGTTTACTTTTCTATTAACAGCCAAGGATAGTCATTTTTTATCGGACGTTATGCTCGATCGTAACGAATCTGTTGACATTCATCGATGATTACGTATATATATATATATATATATATATATATATATATATATATATATGTATACATGTACGTATGTATGTACGTGGATTTCGCATAGGCTTTGATACGACAAAATCATAATATTAGTACGACGATCCATCAGCGTTTAACCGTGATAAATATTCAAACGTTTAACGAGCAATGAATATCCTTCCCCTCCTCTTCCATCCTTCCACGCTCTTGAAAATACACAAATCTGATCACGAACAATTTACGTACCATATAACTTCATCTCCCCGTTCTTATTCGCCAACATAATGATGTACCCCTCTAGATCCACCATTTTCGCTGTTGCTATCTTTCTCCTCGTGGACTATTGGACAACTTCCAGGAACAACATCCTACGTATACGCTGTACGACATATACGTTAAGCCACTAACACTTATCACGGCACTCCGACGATCGTGTCATCGGCTTCGGGTTATCATACCGTCATCGAGAAGAATGACGTTGTCACGTGTAGTGCCTTTTATTATTTTCGCACGCATTTTCATATCTCGTTGATCGGGAGACCTCCCTCTTTGCTTTCCTCCCTTTTTTCCCGCTTATTAAACGTCGAGACCGGCCACTTCTTTTACGAACGCTAACCACTCTTCTTTTTATTCTCCTTCGACAATCTAACGGGCACTGGGATACTGAGATGCACTGGGATGCACCGAGATGCACGGATGCTTTGAGAAGAGGGAGAGGGAGAGAAAAAAGTAGGACGATCGAGTAGAAGGATCGTGCCTATATTCTCGAGAGATTTTTGTGGGAGCGGCTTTGACACGCTCGACGATCTTTCCACTTTCCGACCTTATGATCCTTTTTTCGTATGTTCGGAACGTGTATATACTTACATTATAGTAAAATATATATATATATATATATATGTATATATATATATACATACATATACATATATATATAGAAAGAATCGCGTAAGGAAACTCGGCCACGACAGGGCCTGAACTCGAGCCTGCCTACATCCTTACGATGATATCTTTCTTTCGAAATATTTGAATAGGAAAAAGTCGCGGGAGTTCACGATCTAGTCGAAGGATCACGAGGATGGTTCGTTGATTCGAGGAAGGACGATAACGTCGTTCTCGGTGCCGCCTCGGCCATCTCGTCTTCTCTCGTATTCGTTGCATCTGTCCGTCTGAAAAACACCAGCACAAATTTGTGCTTTCCTTCTTATCGCCTTCTCACGTTCATCATTTCTTCCTATTAGGACAAGATCAAGCAAGCGAGTAAATTACATTGATAAGATGTACTTCAAACTCATTACACATCCAAATATAAGACGTTTCTTGTCTTTAAAGATTTGTCCGACAAAAAACTCTGTGTTTAGAATTTTCTTTCTTTGTTTGTTTCGCACGAATTGTTCTTTTTCAAAAAAAAAAAAAAAAACGAGAAGGATTTTCGTCCAGAATCCTTTCGGTGATTACGGAGAATATTCGCTTTCTTCTTCCGTTGGCACTTCTCTCTATATATATGAAATTTTTTAATTTGACTACTACTCTTAGCAAAGGATCGTCACTGTTTTATTCACCGGGACACGCACTCGCAAGCGGAAATTATCTTCTTCCGCGTTCTACCCTTACGCGAAGTCCTTCGAGTACGTCGACATCGTGCGCGAAATCGTGCGCGATAACCACGTAAAGCAGGCGCAGCGGTGCCGACACTGCTCTATGTCTGATAGTATCCAGCTTCTCTGGTGGTGCTGTTGGCTGATAACGATGACGATGGTGGTGGTGACGGCGGCAGCGCCGCCGTCGTCCGTTCGCGACGCCAACGGCGTCTTACCAAAGAGATCGACGCCTGTCTTCAAATTTCAAGCTGGCACATTCGTTCAGCGCCACCTTCGTTTTATTCGAACCACCCCCAAGACTATGACGTTGGCAGACTTTTACGATTCTCATCCACCTGTGAACACGAGGAACACACTGGCGAACATTTCAAGCTTAGCGACATCATTTCGAAATTGGCAAGTTGTTGCCTTCCCATCGAAACTCTTTTCGACGACTCCTTATCTTCTTCCTATCTTTAATCCTTTGTATCTCCTTTCATCATATGTATGTGGATCATGGGAATGAGGTTATTCATCTTGAACGATGCCGATGTTCGAACATTCCTAGTTCGAACTAGGGAATGAATAATCTGTTTCCATTTGGTACACCATAGTTACACTGTGTATATATATATTTTACCATAAACGAATAAGGTGTTACTAGGATAAAGAACGATACTTGTGAGATAAGCCACAAGATTTCGGTTACAATGATAGTAATGTTGATGATGATGATGATCATGATCATGGTGATGATGATGGCGTTATTGCTGAAAATCATACAAGAACGTATATAGGTTACGCAGACGCAGGCGTTTTCTCTAACGTGGAAGGAGATATCGACGGAGGAGAGAATGAGAGAGATGCTGAGTGTGATCAATATGGGGGATGTTATACGGAGTTAGTCACTACCCTAACTCCGCTTGCGTTTGTCTTGCGCGGGAAGAACGTGAATCCTTCGATTAGTTGCCTGATCATAATATCTCTTACTACTTTCTTAACTATATCAAAATCGTTTCTAATTTATGATTCGATATAAAGTATTAGGTATGGAATGAAAGATAATAGAAAACTAACGATCGTGTCCTTTCTTCCTTAGCTCGAAAAATTGTGAGATTTAAGGAAAAAACGATGGGTAACGGGAAAGATAAGAATAAAGGCAAAATCGTGACGTGTGCAGTAATCATAAGCGTAAAACAGTACCGTGCTAACGTTCAACGTGACAAAGAAAGCACCACGCATTAGTCACCGGCACAATGCTTCTAAGAATCTCAAGAGAGAATGGAAGAAAAAGTAGGCGAAGGAAGGATGAGACTAAGAAGGAAGAGAGAATGAGGAAAGATTACGATGCAAACAAAAGAAAGACGGCATCCTCGCTTGCATCATTTGTAACGTTGCTCCAAATACAATTCTTAAAAATTGCGATAAAACGGTATTCCAGAGCGTAGTAGTTTTCTTTTGGGATATTGAAAAATACAAAAAAAAAAAATAAAAAAACAAAAAAAGATTGCAATACGGTAAACCTAGATTTAGAGAAATCAAAACTAGTTTTCTTATTTGAAAACCGATCATGGTTTTGTATATTTTGTACATCTTTACTAAATACATCTAAACTGTTTTATTCGAAGCGACGGTGGACGATGATATTGAAAACATTGAAATACCCGCTCTCAATGAGCAATATGGAATACGCCTTTGTACCTTAAAGGCACGTACGTATGTAAAGTATTTGAATATGGAAAGAGAGGGTCTTGGTATTTATTTGAAATAAAATAAAATAAAATCGATATGGATTCTGTACATATTCGAACATATTATGTACTGTATATTATGTTCTATGTTAATAACTCACGTTCTTCCTATTTCCATTCACAGATCTAGATTAATGGATGAAATCTCATTGTTTAAAAGTCACTGTTACTGAAATCTCACGATTGGTAGATATCTTTTACCAGACCAATTATGTATCGATGGTTTACACTAGAATTTCATATATAGCTTTTTAAGAAATATAATATTATACCATCCAATGATACATTGTCGATATGAATGGATTTTGCACGTACAGCGCCATATCATGGCAAAAATCTTAACCACAATGACTTACCATGATTCACACTTTTTTACCATGGATGCATAAATCAATGTAAAGGTTACATCTGCAAAATTTAAACCAATTAAAAACAAACTCTATTATATTATCTACGAAGTCTCTTTCTAATCTAAAAACAAAATAAACAATTTGCATTTTCTAATGCATTTCCCAAGATAATAATAACATCCCCTGATACTTTCGTGAGTTCATTTAACTCACTTCAATAACAAACTTGGCATAGCCTCAGGGAAAATGTTCAATGTTTGCCAGATATTATCCCTAGAACGTTAAAATCTTCGACGACTTGTGTGGAATATTTTATCGTTGATTTCTATACAAAAAAAAAAGAACTCCTGATATCTAAACAATATCCTTAATTAACAAAAAAGGAAAATAAGAAGAAGAAAGAAAACATCGAAGACATGAATTATTATACGATCTATAAATTTCATATCCAACCTCGAACCTTTAATCTGATCTTAGTTTTCAAGTATCCTTCTAATTCAGAAGATATGAGTGTACTTGTCAAAGTACATGATTCTCTTTCTCTCTCTCTCTCTCTCTCTTTCTCTCTCTTTCTCGCTCAATCTTCTTGTCTTTCTATCCCCATCACAAGGGTTAAAACAAGGGAAATGTAGTAGATATCGAAAGGGGTGGGCGAGGGTAATGGTGAGTCGACTGACGCGATCATAGCGGCGTTAGGCACGCGCACGACATGCGCGTAGTATCCCTGTACGCGCATGTTTCTTCTCCGCAAAACGGATCGATGCTGGAAATAGCTCAGCCCGCAGGAGAGTACGAGGTGAGTCGCCTTCGCTTTCGGTACGAACTTCCTTGCATTTCGTTACCCGATCAAATCTTTTTCCAGAACAAGAAAAGAGCTTCTTGGTGGTTGAAGTGTCATCATCGTTTGTCTCATCTCTGTTCGATCACTTCTTTCTCCCTGTATCTCTCTTTTTCTTTCTCTTTCTTTCTTTCTTTCTTTCTCTCTCTCTCTCTCTCTCTCTCTCTCTCTCTCTCTATCTATCTATCTATCTATCTATCTATCTATCTATCTATCTCTTTCTCTCTCTCTCTCTCTTTCTGTTTCACATACATTTTCTATCTGATCTCGGCTCCTTTTGCTTCCGATTCAATATCGAGTGCAATAACACCGTATTATTTTTCTCATTAACGTCAATATCAGAGGAGAGTTTATTGCGAAATGACGCGAAAAAAATGTGCACCCTATCGATGTGGCTGATGAGGCGCAACTCGTAAGTATCAACCATCGTATGTCTTTGCTTACGTATGCGTATATGTGGCTATGTATATACTATGAGATCTTCTAGACTTTTTTTTCCATCTAGTTAGCTAGTCTTTCTCGATGGAACCATGAAACACGTTCCAGGCTCGAGCCAGTGGATTGATCGCCGTCTCAGCAACCGCTGACGTCGAGGCATCCACCGTGTGTCATGCAGCATGTTAATTGTATCAACTCGCTGAGAGCTTCCACTTTCCGTCAATTATGTGTCGCGAACCAAGCTCTTTCCTTGTTAGCTATACTACAAAACTCGAAGGTAGGAATTAGGCTTCCTTAGTTTTTAATTGTTCCATGTACGAATTTTGAGTCGATTTTATGATAATGAATGTGTTAGAAGATGATGGGTATAATTGACATAGCAACTATCGCCATTAAATTGATAATCATCGTATCTTGAATTCATTATCATTTTACTGTTTTAATTTCATTCGCTTATCATTTGATTGTAAAAATTCATGTTTTTCTTCTCAGTTACATCATGTAGAAAAGATATTCGATCGTTCTATATAAGTAAAGACTACGTCTAAATATAAGACGAAGTCGATTTTGTCGGTTCCTTTTTTTCCCTCATTCTTCCTGCCCTCATTCACATATATCTTTCGTCGAGATGATTCATGCTCATGAATGTTTACCAAAAGACAACGGAATTCGGCGGCATTCTTAATTTATAATCGTCCTCCATTTAAATTTCGTCGTTTTCATTTGTATATATAACTTATGTATAATTGGATGACAAAAAACAAAATTAGAATTTGATGATTCTCTTTATAAATACGAAATGAAAGTTCAGTGTATCGGTATAATTTATAAATTTACATCATTCAATAAGTAAAATATACGGGTTAATCGTTAATTAATTAATTAATTTATTTAGTGTTCTAAGTTCGAAACAAATCAATGTACAGTTGTAATCAATGATATAGACAACCATACGAATCATTTTAATTCAATATAAAAACTTTTAGGTAATATTTATTTTCAGTATTAAGGAAGATGGATATAATGGACCTTATTTTTCTCAATTGTAAAATACGAAGGAAATTCAGGAAAATTATTGCGTAATTTTTTACGTCAGACAAATAGTATTAATAATTAGTTTCCTCGTTGTAACGAGTATTCAATCGAGTAAGTAAGTATGAAAAGTGAATCGATGGTAAGATTTTGATTGAGAAGGGTGCGAAGGTAATCGAGCTAGACCAGCTTGGGAATCGTCTTTTGTCTATAATGCAACGAATACACGTGATCGATACTCTCGATTCGTCTTGTAACGTGACACGCGCGATTAGACAATTATTATATTTATTTCGTAGGTTACGAATAAAGACGATGGATTGAAAAGTTTATTGAAAATATCCGGTATCATGAGTATCTAATTCGAATTTTGTGTTAGAAAGTGTTACCTGATAATTTATTATATACACCTAATTGAAATAAATAAAAGGAAACTTTAAATTCATAACATTTAAGGATCTCGTTATTGCTATGGAGAAGTCACGATGCCCTTATTCTTCTTTCGTCTATCGATTCAATTTTTTTCAAGGCACGTGGACTTACAATGTTCGTTTACGTGTGTATGTGTCTTCGTATATAAGTGTCCGTAGGACTTAACTGAATGTGCGCTATCGTGCGAAGCGACTCTGTGACCCGTGTCGGTGCTTGTGCTCGTAAAGAAGGGTTTGTTGGCACATAAAACAAATTTTAACTTCACCATATAATATCGAACACGTTATCTCGAACATGTTTTCATCTTCCAAGAAATTAATCCACTCGTTATAATGAAATCGATCTACTAATTGCTTTTCTTCGTTTAACAACTTCGACACATACGATCGAATACGGAAATCAAATGGAATGATCATAATTTTATTTAAAGAATCTTTCACGTGCTGACTATATAGAAATATTAGTTATAGCTTACGATAAAATTTTGTTGTTTCGGCATAGTGATATTGAAATAAATCACGTCTTGAGATAAATTAAATGATCGTTTTAATGGTAGCTATCGATCAAATTTGTTTATGATGAACTTTTAAAATTGGCTTGTGAACGCTCGAACAAGAATTTACTTCGTTATTTTAAAAGAAACATGTTGTATCTGTTCGATAATGAAATTCGACGTGTACATGCTTGTTATTAAAATTTAAATCCATCTGACCTGCAAAGATAATCTTATTAAATAATATCAACAGAGAATGAGATCGTGTCTCGTATTTTCGTTTCGAGATCAGTTGAAATCTTTCAGTCGTTCATGGGAGTACGTTCGTAGATTGAACAATTTTTATTTTTTCTTCCTTCTTCAGTTTCTTTCGTCTTATTTTATTGTCGCTAACTGGGCGCTTGGAAACGAAATAAGGAAGCTTCCGAGAGGTACGGCTATCGATCGACTCGTTCTATCGTCGGCGATTCAATAACTCTCCGATAATTTTCTCGATTATCTTACTTTTTCAAATCACTTTTGATTATCTTACAACTAAACACATAATCCAGAAACATATCGTTCTTTTAACATTTTACAATATTGTTTATGACTCTGAGAAAATAATAGTAAATAATGAACTATTGTAAGTGTGACCTTGTATAATTACTAATGAATTTATTGACAAACGATTTTATCTTTTACCTTAAAGCTTTTTTTTTATGAAAAAGAAAAAAAAAGAAAAAAAAAAATAGGAAAATCTTTCGATTGATTGCAGAAGGCTCTCCTGCAAAACGGTAGGTCTTAGAGAATGCACAAGCTAGCCAAGGGATTGAAAAAGAAGAAAAAGTCGAAGAAAAGTAAGAAGGGTGAGGAGGAAGAGTTCGATCCGGAAGAACTCGAGCGTTACCGGCGTGAACGTGCGGAGCGAGCGGAGCGGGCCGAGCAGAAAGCCGAGGAATCTGGTGAACCGGCTGCGGCCGGCAATGCTGGCTCCGACGAGTGGCGAAAATTTGAGGCTTTGACAGCGGGTGTCGATTCGTTGTTAAAAAAGACTCAAGGTGATCTCGATCGTATCAAATCGGTTTCGTTTTTCCAACGGAAGCCAGCGTTAGACGAGAGGAAGACAGAAGAAGAGGAACAGAAGAAAGAGAAAAAGAAGAAATCCTCTTCGAAGAAGTGGATTGGTTTTGACGAGGAAGGAAATCTCGTTGAGAAAGAGCCTGGTGAGATTGGTGCAGTCGAAGGTGAACTTGGCAAAACAAGCGCAAAGCCGCTTGTCAGTGAAAACGGTTTTGTCGAGGTTCCGGATGATGAGGATGAACAAGAGGATTCAGCAGACGAGGATATCTTCGATACAACCTACGTTGACGTCCTTCAAAATATCGACGTTCAATTAGCCTATATACCTGATAGTCCTGTAAAGGAAGATTTAGACGACGATCCTTTCGATACTACTAACGCTGAGAAAGTACTCAAAACAGTCGACAGTAAAGGCAACAAATTAGTCAGTCTTGGTAATGCTGTTGAAATTCTCTCCGGTAGGGTCGATCATGTGAGTACATGTAAATTACCGCCTAAAAGTAAAAAGAAATCAGTCGTACAACAGGATTTACTGCTGGACGATTTTGACGAGGTCGAAAGTGGAATTATTCCTGAAGGTGTTGCTGAGCCAATCGAAGTTGAGAAATCACTTTTAGATGACGATTCCGATCTGCCGGATATACCAATTGATCTAACGAAGTTACCTCCGGTATTACCGAAACCTGTCACGCCTGTAAACACGCAAGAAACTGAAGTAATCTCAACCGAAACTAAAGAATCCATTGACATCACAGAATTCGAGTTGCTTAAGGAAAAGACGATTTTAGAGGAGATCCCTGATTTGGATGATGCTGAATTTGATTTAAACGAACCCATCGATAATCCGATCCGTCTCGAGGAAGCCGAAGATCCATTTGGTGAAAAGGAACCAGAAGCTAAAGATTTCCAAAGTGAGATCATCGAGGCTAGCTTCGAAGCAGCAACATTTGTCGACGAAGAGGATCCTTTTGACACTACTTTCGCCGATAATATATTACCTGGCAAAACTGAACTCAAATTCATTGAGAAAGAATTAGAAGATTTACCAGTTTCTACGGTTTCTATATCGCTTACTGATCCAGCTGGCTTAAACAGAGACTACGAAACAGGCTTACCCAAAACTGAGGAAAGTAGTAATGTAACTAACAAGGATTTGTTAAGTAGTTCAACGAGTGATTTGAGTTTAATCGATCCACCCATCGCACCAGTTGAAGAGATCACATATGTTGATCCTTTCGATACGTCAGCTATAGGAGAAATACCACCAGGCAAAACAGAATTGAAATTTCTTGAAAGAGAACTTCTCGGTGAACAGGCAAAGACTGATAGTGTTCTAGAAGACGACGACGATTTTGATCCTAGAAAAGAAACACCACCAGCGACTCCTGTAGTGAAACCTCCTATAAGGCCAACTCCACCAGTTTTTCCTGTCAAGCCTGAATTTAAGGTTAACTTCGAAACAGAAGAAGAAGAAGAAGAACAGATTGTTAATAACGTATCAAATAATCGTGGACGAAAAGCTTCGAGACCAGAAGTGATCGAACTACCAATTACAAAAAGTGTTGCCTTTGAATTACCAACACCTTCAAATCGACCTGATCTTCTAGCAACTACAGACGAAGAGAAATCGTTACCCTCGAAACCTCTAACACCATATTATACGCAAAAATCGATTGACGAGGCTTTACCAGCTGAAGACGGGGCAATTGATGTCGATCCCTTTGACACCAGTTTTGTAGCTAAAGTCACTCCTGGAAAAACGGAACTCAAACTCATCGAGTCGGAATTGTTGGAACAAGAACCAAAATTATCTCACAGTGTCAGTGATCACGAAATTGATACCAGATCTCAAAGTGAAGCGTCCAGAAGGAAAAGCGATTTCACCGCTACTTCATTGAGGCCTACCAATTTAGAATTTGCTCAGGTACCTAATCCATTAAAAGAAATAATTGAAGCGAATTCAGAAAAACAGGAAATCACTAGACGCGAAAGTTTGCTCGATGCCGAAGTAGAAGTCGATGCGAAGCCTCTCACGCCACGAGTAGAGACGAAAACTATTGAAGAAGAAGAAGAAATTTCTTACGTAGATCCTTTCGACACTTCCATCGCCACCAATATTTTACCTGGAAAGGCAGAACTGAAAGTTTTAGAAAGCGAACTGGAGCAAATAACCGAACAAGTACGTCCGAATCCTATCATTTTAAGTTCAATTGTTGCACCGTCAGTATCGGATGCAGAAGATTTTAATCCAAGAGCCGGCGAAGTGCCAAAATCGAAAGATTTTCTATGCTCGGACGACCAAGATCCAGGTGCAAAAGTATTGACGCCCCTTCAATCCAAAAACATCGCTTTAGGGGACGATATAGATCCATTTGATACAAGCTTTGCTACAATTGGACCAGGAAAAACAGAGCTGAAGATCCTTGAATCTGAACTGATGCAATAACCTTGAAGATAACATATTAATAATTCGGGTCATCCGGACACTAATTGATCAGTTTAAACCTGATTAATATTTTCACTTGTTATTTTATAAATTCAATTAAAATGGATTCAAAAGGTGGAAATCCTTTCCTAATGGACGATTACACGTCCGAGCCGGATAATTCGGTTCACGGTCAACAAGAATTGAATCCTTTCTTGGAATCCTTCACAGATACGACAACTTCGGAACCTGGAGAAAATCCATTTTTAAATATCACTAGTGATCAATCTTATCAAGCACCGGTGAATGTAGAATCAACGAATCCTTTTGCGTCCTTTTGCGAAGAAAATATATTTAATTTATCAGAGAGCACAAAAGAAGAAGAAGAAAAGATTAGTCAACCTACACAAGCAGCACCTGTACAAGCTAAGAATGGGAAACCACCGCCATCAAGACCTCCACCGCCAAGACCACAACCACCTGCACCACCGAAAAACACAAAAGACCTTATCTTATCGGTTACAGGCGCAATGGACGCTACATCTAATCATCTTCTGGATCGCCTACAAGCTACAAGAACTCCAAGTCCAACTCTAATGCATTCACCTTCTCCAACACCGGAACATAGTTTTGCCGATTTCCTAGATGTTGATGGAAATGTACCGGATTTGATACCTTACGATAATGAAGCCGCAGAACCGCCGAAAAGTAGTCAGGACATTTTAGATTTATTCGATGCTCCAAACACAGACACAACGTCCACGGCAACCTTTTCAATAGATACTACGAATTTGATCACTGATGTAGCAGTGACAAGTACTGCTCAAGAGAACCCATTCGTTAGCATAACTGATCAGGAAATTGAATCGACTGCCCCGGCGGAAGGTGCTTTTAGTTCTTTCTATCCAGAAGCTGCTTCAGTCAGCATGGAAAAGAGAGCATCGGTGTCTTCCACGATGGCTTTCCCTATTCAAGAAACAGAAAAACAAGCAGCTGTTGATCTAGATTTTTCAACGGAAACATCGGTTTCTACAGATCAATTAACCTCAGTAACGACCGCTGAATTATTTTCCACGGCAACGACCGAACAAATTTCCACTACAGTAGAGTCTCCCTTCTTCTCCATATCTGACAACGCAAGTACGATACAATATGGAGTGACGGAAACATCAGCCACATCGTTATCAACAACGCAGCAGATCACCCAACCCATATTTTCAATGACAGATACCCAACAAAATGTTTTCTCTTCCGATCTCCTAGGCGATTTTAATGAACCCACTAAAGAAGTGAGTGGATTGATCTCAACCAGTCCGATACCAGCTGCAGAATATCCTGGAACTGATACGCAATTGGATAATTTCGCTGCTACCACTAAAGCCATTGAAAATACTGGTGATGCATTCGATGCTTTCGCATCGAAGTTCGATAAAGCAGCTGAGCCAGAAACGAATGCAGATCCATTCTTGGATGCCTTTGGTAATACTGGACCTACAGCAATGGATACGTCCAGCGACGGTACGATTTAATTATATTTTTATTCGTTAATACCATTCAAATGTAAATAATCAAAAATTGCAATATGATGATCTAGTATGGGGAGACTCATCAGGCGGTGGAGATACTGGAGTTACTGGATTTGAAGAAAATGATGGTTTTGATTCTTTCTTAAGCATGACAGCACCACCACAACCAGAAACTAAAGTGAAACGAGCAGATTCTGGCGACTCGGACGAAGGTCCTGACTTTAGTGTCTTTATAAAGTAAGTTAACATTTGATGTAATTATCTATTTTTTGTTTGTATGTTTTCTAGCTTGACTCATTATTTAATCTTTATTTTTAGACCAAAAGAAGGAGATCAACTTACTCAGTCTGAAGTTGGACCAGTACCAGTTTTAGCGCCACCACCAAAGAGTCCACAGAATTCTGCGTACGCTGATTCATCATCACGGTTTAATCCCTTCGATAAAACAGGTGGATTTGCCCAAGAAGCTGTGGTTCCCACAGAGACAGCTCAACCTGAAATAACAAGAACAGATTCCCAAGTAGGTTTTAGCTATTAATTTTACAGCAATTATACTTATAATTTTTATATTAAAAATTTCTAAAGACATTTGTAATGTTCAACAAATTATTTTATTAGGAAACACCACCGACTCCATTGTTTGACGAGGATGTGAGTCAACCTTTAGAAGATTTTCCACGAGTTACGTACACTGGTGACGGCTGGGAAATGCAGTTACGTCAACCGAACAAAAAGAAGATCACTGGACAACGGTTCTGGAAGAAGATATTCGTGAAACTAGTTTATCAGGGTGATAATCCGGTTCTTCAGTTGTTTAATAGCAAAGATGATAAAGATCCATTCCAAGAATTACCTCTTTTGGCCTGTTATTCTGTTTCGGATATCGGAGCTCAACAATTCGATCAATTTGGAAAAATATTTACGGTGAAGTTGCAATATATTTTTTACAAGGAACGACCTGGAGTACGACCTGGACAGGTTACTAAAACCGAACGATTAACAAATAAACTCAGTCAGTTTGCTGCTTATGCAATTCAAGGTGATTATCAGGGTGTTAAAGAGTTTGGTAGCGATTTGAAAAAGTTAGGTCTTCCCGTCGAACATGCGGCTCAGGTAAATAAATCATCGATATTTGATGATCTTATCGTACTAAAATATAATAACTATAACTAGTTATTGATTATAATCTTCAGATATCTCAATTGTTCAAACTCGGATCACAAAATTATGAGGACATGAAAACATTTTCTTGCGCTATTGAAGAGGCTCTTTTCAGGCTATCGGCTCACAGAGATAGAGCACTTAATTATAAAATGGAAGAAGTTCAAATAACAGTGGTTGATGAATTATACGTCGAGCAAAGTGCCGAGGGTTACGTAGATAAACAAATAGCTCGTGTTCGTCTTTTCTTCTTGGGTTTCTTATCCGGTAATCTACATTTTAAACCGCTCTTTTAGCTTTATATGTATATCATCTATCTGACCTGCAATAATGATTAGGTATGCCCGATGTTGAGCTGGGAATAAACGACATGTGGCGTCAGGGTAAAGAAGTAGTTGGAAGACATGATATTATTCCTGTTGTTACTGAAGAATGGATCCGTTTGGAAAACGTTGAATTTCATGCTTGTGTCCAACAAGACGAGTACGAGAAGTCGAGGATCATAAAGTATATACGATTTTAATGTATACGTTATATTTCTTATCGCAATTAACTAAAATTAATAATTCTAAAGGTTTTTCCATACATTTTGCGCATATTTAATATAACTAATCTTTATACTAATCGATATTTAAAGGTTTAAACCTCCTGATGCATGTTATATCGAATTAATGAGATTTCGAGTAAGACCACCTAAAAATAGAGAATTACCGCTTCAATTGAAAGCAGTAATGTGCGTTACTGGTAACAAGGTAAAGTAAACGTTATTACTAATTAATGCACGCTAGGCTTTAATATCGTTTATGTAAATATTTACTAATTGACTCATCAATTTAAAATATTATTTAAAATATCATTTGCTCTTTTTTTCAAAAAAGAAATTAATAAACATATTAATCATTAGGTGGAATTAAGAGCAGACATATTGGTACCAGGATTTGCCTCTAGAAAACTCGGGCAAATTCCTTGCGAGGACGTGATGGTGCGTTTCCCAATTCCAGAATGTTGGATCTATCTATTTAGGGTAGAGAAACATTTTAGGTATGGTTCGGTAAAATCAGCGCATAGAAGAACCGGTAAAATCAAAGGGATCGAAAGATTTTTGGGAGCTGTAGATACTTTAGAACCTCAACTGATGGAAGTTACGTCTGGACAAGCCAAATATGAACATCAGCATCGTGCTATTGTATGGAGAATGCCTAGATTGCCTAAAGAAGGACAAGGTAAAGTAACGATGATTAACAAATTTCATAATTAATTTTTTTCCTCATAATAATTATTATTTTCTTTTTTACATTCTTTAAGGTGCGTACACAACGCACCAATTGGTTTGTCGCATGGCTCTAACTTCCTATGACCAAATCCCGGAAAATCTTGCTGAGTACTGTTACGTCGAATTTACCATGCCAGCTACTCAAGTTTCGCACACTACAGCGAGGAGCGTCAGCCTTCAAAATAACAACAGTGACGCTCCGCCAGAAAAATACGTTCGTAATTTATCGCGGCACGAGTACAGGTAGAACGATTTCTCTTTCTCTCTCTCTTTCTCTTTCTCCCTCTCTTTTTGCTTTTCTTTTTTCTTTTTTTTTTTTCGAAGAGAGATCGAAGTCATAAATGATCACTGCTTTCACAAAAAAAAAAATCAAACGAGAATTATAGATAGTTCGAAGTGTAATAAATTTTTCTGTTCTTTGTTTAGAATTGGTATCGAACATACACAAGGCGAGGGACCAGGAGCGTATGTGACAGCTACGCTAACAAAGAAAATTCCTGAAACAACGCCAGAAACTCACGGTGAAGTTTCGGATACCCCGGCTGAATCCGATTCCGATTCTTCGGAGTAAGTTTCTAGGTGTGAATTCTTCGAGGTCGCACGAGATGATCGTTCTTCTCGAGTGTATGATAGTACTATATTAATGATATCGTATGTCTATGAAATAACTGATGAAGTATTCTATAACTGATCGACGAAGCGTTACTCACTGTCTCTAGTCGCTCGAGTTAAATCGAATACTAACTTCGCTATTGTACTTATTGCAAATTTGCCTGTATAAGAAAAGAGAAGGACGTGTAAATCGGTACAGGCTGTTTCGTAAGTTAAATATTATACCTACTATTCGCATGGGAGATAATATAATATCAGTTCCGATGAAAATATCCGATGAATAACGACACGGCTACGAAATAACAGGAAAGAGTATATCGACGAGCAAATTAACACATATTTCGAGCAACCGTAAGCGTTAAAACATTCCTTTTGTGTTTTGAAAAAGAAAACCCGAATATGTATTGTCCGTTCGTTAAAATTCATTATTTCTGTATCCTGTTTTAGCTCACGAAACGCCTTGCATCTATTTACACGCACAACGTAGTACATAATGAACTAATAAATATGAAAAAAATTAATTTAAGAGACGACAATACTGCTGTTTTGTTCAGCTTAGCTTGCTAAGTCGTAGAACACTTGCGGTGGAAAGCTTTGATAATCGCTTCATGTTTCAAAGACTGAACGATATTAAAAGAATTATAAAAAGAAAATGGAGAGCATTTGGTAAAAATTTCTAATTGTTATTAATAATTATAATAATTCATTCTCTAATTAGAAACAAAATTCTATTAATGATATGGAAACGGTAATACAGAAAATGAAATTCTAGCGAAAATTATTTAAATTCAGAAACAAATACAAGTTCTAATTATCCCAAACTATAAATAGATTCAAAACCAGCATTTATAATTTAATTTTAATTATCTATTGAGATTATTTCAATATATTTATTAAAAGACCAAAATGTAAAATGTGCTAGTCATTGTCTTGTCAAATAATCTGAATAGAATATTTCGATTTAGATATATGTATAATTTTTTATGTATAATTCTTTAATGTTTATTTTTTTTTTGTTATATTATCATTATGTTTTATACATCCCTATATCGTGATAACGATCAGAGAGAAATATTTATCGAGTAAAAAGATATAAGGCTCGTTATGTAATATTTGTGATCGTTCGCGTATCTTATTCTAGCTTGCAATTAGTATAAAAAATGATTGTTATCTAGTCTCTAGTCGCTTATATTTAGTAGATTGCAAAAATTGATAATCATTCATCGAGTTTGTTGCATGTAGAGATCGAACGAAAAGATCTAATTTGATTACGATTCTCATGGGTACCGGAAGAAATTTATCAGAAAATATTTTCGATTTCAGATAATATTTAAAACTTACATCGTACCATAAAATAATGAATCAATGAAAGATAAAAAGAGCTAGAATAAAAACAATTCAGTTCCTACGAATAATTACAATTATCAAAAATTCTTTTTACTCGTTTTTAAAATGAAACGAAAGATATTAGTATCGTAAGTCTTAGCTGAAATCATCCTAGATGATTCTTAAAAATTATTTTTCCATTCGTCGTGTTCATTAGAAAGAAGATGATTGCATGACTAATAAGATAACGAGAGTTAATGAAGACTTTAATTGCCATTAAATACGCCAATCGTGAGAAACGTATCCAACTTGAATTTTAACATTGGATCTCGACATGACGCATATATAATTATAATATTCGTAAGTTAAAAATAAAAAGCATAGAATCGTAATAATTGCAAAAGGTATCGACTATTTAATGGTGCATCGCAAATCTATGCGGGAAAAAAAAAGTCTATATGAAAAAATTTGCAGTGATAGGGATATAATATTACAATATATTAGCAATATGAACAAATATATATATATATAAATATATATATATAAATTATATAATAAATATTTAAATACGTAAATAACTCTTAAAGGCAGATAATAGGCGTAAGTTTAAACTTAAAGATACAAGAGCATAAGCTTCCGTTATCTCGTTATAGTTCCTTTACGTTAAACGTTATTACGATTGGCAAGAATTGCCAGAATTTTGAGAATGAGCTAGACTTACAAAAAAAAAAAAAAAAAATTAAATTAAATAGAATGTTCAAAAAGAATACGATCTACGAGATTTACGAAGATATAAGAAGATTCGACAAGTGTAACAATATCAAACGTAACTTTAATAGGTATATAAGATTATCAGTACTTAAACTAGTCATATAAGTTTCAGTTATTTTATCAACTTTTTTATTTACGCATTTTCTTCCCTCAGTGGAAGACAAGGAAGAGTACACTCTAGTCCCTAGTTTGTAAGGAAGACACTGAAAATGAAAAGTGTCAATTCGCCAGATATAAGTTTATCGATAAGTTATACTATAAGATTAAATTAAATGTAATGTGTTTCCAAATGAATATGCCAATTAAATCGTAGATAAATAGACATAATAATAATTTAATCGTCGTTGCTCTGATCGTTATTAGTATTACATTTCTTTGTTTTCTCTTCGAATGTACCTATTTGCAATGAGTTCTCCTTGAGAAATTGCGTTTACTCTTGCATTAGTTTTAATCGTAATTTGTATTTATTTATAGAAAAGACAACGAACCAGTATCTGTCAATGCGAATACGATAAAAATTTGAAGATAAGCTTTCCGAAAGAATTAGAAAAGCATAACGTGATAATTATGAAGCGTTTTGACGTCTTTGAAACTAAAAAACGAACAAAGCTTTTCAATCAATAGTGTGAAGGTCTGTTTGTGTTGGTACCTTAAACGGATTTTGGGCGAGTTTCTATTGTGGAACCTTGCACCAAGATATGTTATTTCCAGCTCGTGATCTCAAATACGCGTAATTGCACTTTAGTGCGATCCAGAATGACGTTCTAAAGGAACAAAAAAAAAAATAATTAAAACAATTATACGATGCATGTATAGCTCTTATGTTAGCGGGAATGTTTATTAGTATATACGCGTAATATTTGCGTGTCCATAATAATTTTCACAAAGAGAGAGAGAGAGAGAGAGCGAGAGAGAGAGCGAGAGAGAGAAAGAGCGAGAGAGAGAGAGCGAGAGAGAGAGAGAGCGAGAGAGAGAAAGAGCGAGAGAGAGAGAGAGAGAGCGAGAGAGAGAAAGAGCGAGAGAGAGAGAGCGAGAGAGAGAGTGATAGTGAGAGAAAGAGAAAGTAAAAAATTAATAAACGTAGGTTTTAAGTTTAGATACGAGGAGGTAGTGGACAATCTGACGAAGACATTAAATTTTGTTTAGAATATACTCTTTTTCCTCATCGATGTATTGTTTTTAAATCGTAATCCAGAATTTCTCGACAGAAAAAAATTTACAAATATTTAAAGACAGTCGTCATAGTTAATCGAATCATTTATAGGCATTCTTATATTTTCTTTTTTTTTTTTTTTATATTTTCTATTTATAATTTAATTTCAATCAAGAAACACGGATTCAAAGCAAAGTGATGTTTGATCGCCACCTCCGTCGTCTTAGCTTTTAAAAATGTCATGTGAACACTTCAATTAATCCTTCCCTATTCTCCTAAAGAAAGGAGATGTAATTTATTTGCATGCGAGTCTTAAAAATAATAGATATTAAGTATGAGAATGACAATGATAATGATGTTGATGATAATGATGATGTTGATTCAATCGTCATAAAGAAATTAAATATAAGAGAGCACATTAAATCAAGCGTCATAATTGTTTTGTAAAATCTATTTTCTATGACGAATTAGAAGGGAAGATTCGTAAAAACATAAAGATAAATGTCTATCTTCTTTATCGTATAAAAATAATTTCAGTATCGATATCAGACGAAATAATAGAATTACTCCATTGGATGAGAAAGAATATTAAAATATAATCGGAATCGAAAAAAATTAATTTGAATTTTGAATGCAACGAACTTCGAACTTTTTTTCTTCAAATTCTTTTAATAAAGCAAACACGAAGTATTATCGTAAAATAAAATTTTAAGAAGGATATACTTTCCCGAAATGAAAATGGATTTTTATTTCTATTCGTTTGTCTTAAAGCCCGTTTGTACGTTTACGTTGACAACAACGACGACGACTATGTTACGTCTATAAGCGCTAAACATACCTATCGCGATATGAAAGTACATATTTAATATAAAGAAATAGCAATGACCTCATTGCAATGTCGAAGAACGATCGTTCGTCGATTCGTATGACGAGTAACGATTTTCAGATTATTTAGATCTTAGGGCTATATGAATGCATGGTTTCAAGTCGAACATCGTGATTAGTACTTATCTACATCTTTTCGCGTTTAATAAGAAATTTCAAGAAAGAAATGAATAAAAAAGAAAAAACAAAAAAAAAGACAAAGGAAAAAAAGAAAGAAACGAGAATAGCAGTAAGAAAGAGCAAGCAATGAAAAGTTCTACGCATATACTTTTTCGCATTGGATAAATCAAGGCCGACGACGAACACGAAGGAAGATGACGACATCGAAGTTGAAGTTGATTTTGAAAAGAACTCGTTTAGTGTGGCATCGTCATGCGGCAACGCTCATAAAAATACGCGCGAACATTTGAAAGTGCTTTTAAAGGCGGTAAGATCTATTAAAAATGACGGACGACGAGAGAGAACCAAAACTTGTCAATCGAGGAATTCTAATCGTCCGGAATAAAAGAGAGACAGAACTGTATCTATCTAGTCGCTGATCTGTAACTTATATATATATATATATATATATATATATATATATATAACTGTTACCTATGAAAACCTTAATGTATGACTATATTATATATGTATATGTATGTATGATTTAATTGTATTCTAAACGCAGCTATAATCCAATCAAGTTATAAAGAAGAAAAAGAAAAAAGAAAAAGAAGATACGCACGTACCAAAGAAGAAAGGGAAAACGAAATATATTTCGTCGTGTATCATAAATCCCAATGAAGCGACTTCGGAGAAAAAAAAACCACAAAGGAAAATGAACAGAGATATAAAGTGGGGGAAAAAAAATATAGAGCGAGTGCAATACTGTTAGCCAATTGTATCATTGATAAATTCTATGTATCGATAAATAATATAACATTGTTTAAGCGATAGAGACGAAATGATTCCTTTTTTTCTCCTTCCGCATAAACTGTCTCTTATTCGTCAATTCGGATTATTTAGTTTACTCTACGAGTCTCTATTATATTCTTTGCTGCAACTAATACGTGTATATATATATATATATATATATATATATATATATATCATGTATTAGTATATAACTATAGAGCTGCATAGTGAGTTCTAACGTGCTTTGCCTCAAATCATCTCACGAGAGATAGAAGAAAAAAATAATTTCCATACCAACGCTAATCGTTTGTTATTATTTGAATCTAGAACTTTACACAATTTTTTTTATTTAATAGATATGTAAATCTCTCGTAGTAATAAATAATGACTAAACCGGTCCTCCGAACATATATTCAATTCCATACATCAAGTATCACGCTAATTTAACCTCGACCTTCCAAAAACTGACTTCCTGCTTCATGAAACCTCTCGTAAGTAACATTCGTATTATATATTTCTAGTCGATCGATTGGCAATGACTTTTGGCAGTTTACCTGAGAATACATAAACTTCGTTACGTCATACAACGTACAATCCAATAGTCGATCTTTATTGTTACTAAAAGGAAGCACGTTTCCGTTTCCCTGATAGTACATAGCTACTACATTTAATAAACAAGTATTATCCACGATATACTTATATATTTGAATATCAATTTTTCAATTTTAATTTATGATATATTATGTAGATTTAATTCATAAATATTACTAGTGCTAGTGATATTCCATTTATTTAACGTCTACGTACTATTATATCTAAATTCTATAAGATAAGAGTCTGAGATAAAAAAAAATTAAACAACTCGACGAAATGAAAGTCAGATAATTTCTCAGATTGTATCCCAATAAAAATAAGATTTTAATTTAGTCCAGACCAGCTCGTATATCAGAGTAAAAAGGGTTGGGTAGATACGCTACTGCTAAAGTCGATTGCTGGTGATGCAAGAGCAAAAGAGAGAGATATAAAGACTCTTGGACGTGAAGCTAGAGCGTCGGCGCCATGCGCTCGATAATGCTTCTCGAGTCCTAAGAGACCTGCCTGGCATCGACTGTCGACATTACCACCTCTACTGACAACTCCACCTCCACAGGGAAACTCTACTCTGACCAACCGCCACCATCAGCAGCACCGCCACCTCTACCGACGCTAGCACGGCTCAGCTGTTTCTGTTTACCAAACAAAGGAGCCAGTTCAACGGTGGACCGCGAACTGCGCGTTTGTGTTCGCGCGTCAGACGTTAGTTCCTCCTCCTTGTTGTCGTTGTCGTAACAATTTTGTGCACTTCGTGATCACATGAAAAGCTAATCGCTATCTTTCTCTCTTTCTTTCTGTATCTTTCGAGTAAAATATATCGCGCTTTTGAAGACGCTACTGATGCGTTCCTATCGTGCGGTCAGTGAGGAAGAAGAAGAAGAAGAAGAAGGTTAGGAAAAAGAGGAGGAGGGGGTGAAGATTCGAGGATCGAAGGGCAACCGAAGAGGAAGACATAGCAGTGAGTAGAGCAGGAATGTGTGTACTAAAAATAAAATGGTCCAGGGACAAGTCGAGCGAGTTCTTCTTGTTCTTCTTCCTTCTGCTTGGTCCTTGACCTAATTTCCAAAGTTACCTCATCTGTCCGTAACTCTTCCGTGTATTTCGAGTTGTTTGAACACATCGATGACCTTAATAATTACAGTATAGATTTTTTGATTTAGAAAAAGCAAATGTTAGAATGATGTAAAGAAAATATAACTGTAATTAAGTTTAAGGTAACAGTTGTTAGATGTCTATTAGGTTATACTAGACGATAGAATGTCATATTGAGAAATGTCCTCGACGTTACTTTGACACATTTCTTAAATATTTTTAAATATTAAAACGTAGCTCCTGTCCTCATAATCAATTCTTCCAAGAAACGATATATATACGATATAATAGATAGGAATAGCTGGTTAAATTCTAATTTGTGATCGGAGTCGCTTTAACAGGGATCGGAGAGACGGTCGACCTTAGATTGTAGACTATATATGAGGGACGGTGAACGTGAGCTCTTTTACAGTTAGAGGAGCACTCTTTCTTTTTGCATGATCGCTCACACACACACACACACACACACACACACATACAAATACATGTACGTACGCATATACATACATTTAAAGAGATATTGTACGTACGAATATTACAACATGCACTGATTCTCATGAATACGAACAGGAGATGAACGAGGAGAAGAGGGAAATATCGTGACAAAGTTATTTTTCGATTGGTTCTGATCGATTTTTTCCCGGCCAAGCATCTGATTTTAGATTGCACGACGTGGAGCTGCAATTGAAGGAAAGAGAGAGATAGATAGATAGATAGAGAGAGAGAGAGAAAGAAAGAGAGAGAGAGAGAGAGAGAGAGAGAGAGAGATTCAAACGTTACGCTCGATCGGCAAGAAACAAGGAAATCTTTTGCTCTCTTAACGCTCGATCGATCTCGATTGTCCTTTCTCTTTCTCTTTTTCTTAATCTTTTGATAAGGGATTATAGATCGTACAATTTCTTGGTTTTTTTTTTTTGTTGTGAAGCTTGAAAGAACAAGAAGAAAAATAAAAGACATTGCGAATAGGTACCCAGAGTAGAAAAGAAAGAGTAGTGAAAGAGGAATAGAGCGAAGAAGGGTTGAGAAACAGCAGAAGAGAGAAAGGCATCGTTCGATATTCTCGACGGGAGGAAGCGTGTGCGCTTTAACAGTTTGCGCAGCGATCGGTGAGCGTGGCTCCGTTCCTCTACGTTATGTCTATGTCTCTCTTTTTCTCTGTTTCTCTCTCTCTCTCTCTCTTTTTCTCTCTCTCTCTCTCTCTATCTATCTATCTCTCTTAATGTATTAGTATCTCTCTTTTACACATTGTATCTTGTCGTATGTTACTCGTGTCTCACTTTCCGAGTATATTACGTAATCGCGATTTACGAGCTTATCAGCTGCGAAGCGGACGGCCTCTCCATCTATATCTATCTCTTTCTTTTTTGCTTGAAGGAAAATGCGTTTAAATTTCGCACGAATGAATACCGAGAGACAAAGAGACAATTGCGTCGTACGTATTGTGCATACACGTAGGTCTCTCTCTCTCTCTCTCTCTCTCTCTCTCTCTCTCTCTCTCTCTCTCTCTCTCTCTCTCTCTCTCTCTCTCTCTCTTTCTCTCTCTCGGCCACGACAGAGCAGACAGGCAGAAAGAGAGAGAAGAGAGAGAGAAATAACAAGGTCGAGAGGGAAATCAATTATATAGACATTGTATTCGATGTTCATCCGTTTTCTTCTTCGTCTTCGTTTTCTTTGAGACATTGATGATGCCATTATGATGTCTGATTATGATATAAATGCCATTAAGTCTATTCCCGCGAATTTTCCTCGACTTTGAAATTAAAACGTTCGTTCTTTAGTTTGTTAGTTATTTAATATATTAGTATCTTATGAAATGATTTCTTCCTTGTTTTTAATGCCTCGTTAAGTACGTCATTCGCGAGTATCTGATATACGGCAAGTACTTACGTATTATACGATGAAATTTTTTTAATTCATTAATGGAAAACATTTATCAAGCTTCGAGAAACTAAAAAAGAAAAAAATTGCATATTTTTTTGTCGAGAACGAAAGTTTTGATAATTCAAGTATAAAGCTCAAGGATAAAACAATTCTATTTTATAGATGCTTTTAACAAATTGATCTACGATCTACGAGTGTTTTTTTTTTGTTTTTCTTTCAAGGTAACCATGAATATGAAGATGAATTTTATTTTTGACATAAAAAAAATAATAAGAATAAAGTTACTCTTTGATCGGAATAAATTTCGGAAGATACATCTCCAACAGCGTTTTTTTTTTTTTTTTTTTTTTTTTTTTTTTTTTTTTTTTTTTTTTATTGATCATTCTGAGTCTGATCCTTTATGCCAGTTTCTCCTTTAGTGAGCCGTACAATGTACCGATAATAACTCCTGAACGTAGTCTAAGCTCGTATTTGTTCGACGATCATGTTAGGTTCCCGAAACAGACCGCAACGACGTTGATTGTGTTACGTATTCAGTTAGATGGAAATTCTGTTTAGAAGCACGAAAGACGAAGAGTTAACGTTTACAGGAGGTATTTAGCACGTTGTTACTAAAAATATACACCGTTCCGGCCAGTATCGTGACATTATGCGAGTCTTCGATCGTCAAGTGGGAGTGAACGTTTGTTTCTTTGATTTCTAAGTTCTAAGTTTATGCTAATCCCAAAGACGATCATGCGAATGCGCATTTTCTTTTATTTCTATTCTTTATTTGAGTCTAAATTATTCATGATGTTCGACCGTGAGAGGACACGTAGATACATTATATTCATTTTGATATGCGTATATATGAATATTTAACATATCGACTATTTAGAATACATATACCATTAATTATTTGTTTATGTAAATAGTGTGATAAATAATTTTATTTCTGCGTTAACTTGATGTTTTTTTTTATAGATATATGATAGAGAAAAGAACAAAATTTATAGTCAATGAGTGTAAAGTTTAATTTTTAAATATCAGTACGTATATTTGTATGTCAATATTTTTCATGAGGAAAAGAAAGAAAAAAGAAAATGTTTTTTCTTTTTAGAAGAAACTAGTAAGAAGAAAAGGTTTTTCTTCTTACTAGTATCAATTTTACACCTATCTAAATAAATAAAATTCTGCCAATCAGCTTTTTTCATATAAAGGCCAATAAATAATTCTTATTTTACTATTGAACACTGTTCAATAGTAAATCCGAAATGGAACGTTATCGATTGATTGTGACATTGCGTTATAAATAATATACGGAGTATACGACTTTTATATCGTCACAGTTTCTATCAGATAACGATCGACATCGTGCCGTGTCGAAAGTACAGTTTCGATAAGAATTCTTGATAAAAATCGTGATTCTTTATCATCGCTTTTTTATTCGTATGATTTCATTCGCTTTCCTTTTTCTTTTTTACTTATCATGTAATATTAATTAAAAAAACAATAATTTCGCGTGTCAATTTAACCGTGTCAACATTATTATTATTGACTTCGTTGAATCAGAGAAATTTTGAATGAATCAACTATAATTAGCAAAAGTGTAATATTGTTAGTTCAGTCCAGTCCAAGTTTAAAGAGCGATTCTCTCGAATATAGACTGGCTTGTCCTAGTTTCACTTTTGACTTCTTGTAACTTTTTCGGCCATCACGTACAAACTTTACGTTTGAAACTATAATTAAAAAACGAACAAACAAAAAAATATCTGTCAATATTTTAAAAATTATTTCTCATTCGATTAACGGGTTTGGTTGATATGGTGTATATATTAATTACTTTCTACGATAGATAATAAAAATATAAAAATGAATTAACGAAACAGTTAAGGCTTTAGTATACCAAAAACTTTTAACAATCGAATTTGACTCTTCTTTTTGTCTTTTGCCCTACAAAAAATAGGCGACATTCTTACGATCGTATTATTCCGTTCTTAAAAAAGATCTACGGAAATTATTAGAATGTACTAAAATGACAGTGAAAGTTGTCTGCCAAAGTTGTTGTAAGCATCGAAGTCTCGTGCAATGCTTGTGTAACCTTTAAATCACAGCATCTTAGAAACTCTTGAGCGTGACCGTCGTAGTTGTCATCTTGCTCAAGAATCCCGTAAACTTCTTCTCTATCAACCTTAAAAAAAATACAAACAGTATCCTCGTTCTCTAGGATAAACGAATGGAAACGAGAAATCATGCAATTTACGTTTAAAAATTGCATTGAAATATTTTATTTGCCTCTCTATATCTTTCTCTTTATTTGCGGAAAACACGAAATACTACAAATCTCTGTGAATTGCATGTACCATAAGTTCGAGCAACTTTCATTTTCGAAAGATTTTTATCCTGAAAACCGTGCGGTTATTAGCGTCATCAGACTCTTCCTTTTTTACGTAAGACACAGTTCGTTGGTTTCGTCTACAAAATGATAGAAAAAGACAACGGATCTTTTCACGAAATAATCGAAATTGAAATAATCGTTCTATCGAGAAAACACATGGATAAAGTTCGAGCCTCGAGATAACTCTTACTTATGAGAATATAATTATCTCTTCTTTTTTCTTCTCTTTTTTCTTTCTTTCTTTTTTTTTTCTTTTTTTTTTTTACACTTCGTGTGTTCTATTTGAAACTCTCTTAAAATCGGGAAACGTGTGGTCGTCGGTGAAAGTCGGACATTGATAATTATTCTGTTCTTTCTTTCTAACTGCAATCCTCAGTGTTTTAAAACGGAAACCAATACACAACGACTAACGTTAAAGGTCCTTTCATTTGAAATTAACAATTCGTACATGCGGTGAATTTGTTAAAATGTGTCGATAATGCAACGAGTTGAATAGTAATGCATTTTTGTTTAGGAACGATGCAACGAAGCGAATATATGTGTATGTGCGCGCGTATGCTGCGCCTCGTTCTGCTAGGCTTGGCTAGTTAGAAGCAACATGGAGAGAGATACAACGCGGCCATCGTAGAGCCATAAAGCCAGAGCAGAGAAAGTTAATTTCGCATGGCCGTTGAACCGATATCGCGATTACGTAGGGGAGTCGAGAGAAGTAACACATTGACGGTTATAGCGAGTTTAGCGAGTCTAGTTGCTGCTTGCATTAATATCTACAAAATGATCATTTGTTAATTTGATCGGCTAATGAATAGTAATATAATATATATATATATATGTGTGTGTGTGTAACTAATGAAGCATCATGTAATTACATATAAATGCTCGTCAATAATTAGACAAAATAAATATTGTTTAATTAAGATTTATCGATAGAAAAATATGAATTATCTTTCACTTTTAAAATATTTATGAATGTTATCGAATTTCATGATTTATGATATGAAAGTTCGAATCTTTATTTTTTTTTTTTTTTCCTATTAATGCTAAAATATATAATGTTTTGTTGTGAGCATGTGAAGCTGAAGACGTGATGATAAGATACACATGCCGAAGAACAGATGTGAAACTTTCTTTGTATTCATATCGCATTGGTGAATTTTCAAATAATCCGTCGTTCAAATATAGTGATATTAAAGTCCCTATTCGATCCAATGATATTAAACGATCAAATACCACAATCTTCGTGACATCTTTTCCTTATTCGCACAATTTCAAAAAAATGATATCATATGTTATTCAACGAGATAATTAAATCGTGGTTTATATCGTTATATATATGTGAAATACGTCGTTTTAATTTATCGACCTTTGATAATGGTTCACCTATTCTCTCAGACAAAATAGATTTCAAGACAGGCAAGTGAAAAATGACACGATTTGTTCGTGGAACACTCGGCGATGCGTGATTTTAAACAGCAGCCGGTACAAATGAGAGCATAAATACTCGGAACGTAGTGCGAAGCAACGATTTACACGTCGTTCAAACGTTCAATTTGATTCTACGGAAGGAAAAATGAAAGAAAAATGAAAGGAAAACACGAGAGAGAACACTTCAGAAAACGGATGGAACAGAAATGTTCGTCATGATCGCTTGTAGTTCTTTGGAAATTTGTACTTTCGAGAAAAAACTCTTTTACATATATATATATATATATATATATATATATATATATAGGATGTTTTATTTGAGTACTTGAATTATCTCCATTATTTTGAATGATACAAAACAATATTTCGAGAAAAAATAATTTAATTTAAATATAGAGGGCAACAGTTTGATGAACAGAAAATGTTATTTTTTGTCAAGATCATCGATATTTTTTTTATGTGGTTATTGTTTCGAATAGAAAGTTAAATGAGAAATAATAATAATCGAAATTTTAGCATTCGTAGAAATCTCTAGAAACGATCAACGCTATATGACGAAATGTACATTGAAGTTTCGTTAGCAGTAATGGCAATAAAGCTATCCTTCCGAGACGATGCTAAATCAAAATGACTAATTAATATTTATCGATCGTTAGATATGTTTTAGCAACTTGGCTGAAAGGAATTACGTGTAAATGAAAATTAGTATATACGTATTTATTATACATATTTTATCCTCACTATACATATATGTACATAGATATAATCGTTCAAGAAGAAGCTTGAAAGTATCGCTAAATATAAGTCACTTGATGCAATCGACGCAGAAAAATATAAAATGATCGCACTTATATTTTTCTCTTTAAATTGTATTTTATATAACTGTTGCTATATCTCTGTTTTTACGTATATGTTTATTATTTCTTATTATTTATATTTAATATAAAAACATAATTTTATTTCATATTTTGTTAATTCTTAAATTTTATGCTTGTCATTATTTACATTTTTTATCAACATATCTTTGTATATATACAATTTTAATTTGTATCTTATAATCATTTCATTCTTATTTGTCTAATATTTTTCATACATATAAATAAATACATTTCTTTTTATCTTTTTTTTCTCGTTTAGCTATCAAAAAAAATTATATCGATTTTCTATAAATGTTCTTAAAGAGAAAGAAATGTGGGATTCACGTGTCTCGTTTTTTACAATCGAAATGGCTCACACTTTATACATCGTATCGATGCGGGTTGTCTAGTTAAAAAGAAAAGAGAGAGAAAGAGATAAAAGATTTTCTCGCGTGGGCGAATGGCGTACCTTCGTTCTGAGCTCTCTGACGACGTCGGAAACCGGTACCCGTTTCTCTCGAGAGCTGCGCAAAAAGACAATGGAGTGACCTTAGGAGCTCGAATATGGTCAAACCAGATTTTACATCTTTGCCGTTGCCCTCGAGGGTACACGCCTGGACCACAGAACTTTTCTTTCCTTCTTTTTGATATGTCGTTCCTGTCATGGTCATTTTTCATCGTCTATGCAACAATGTATTATAAATATTCATTCCTATGCAATCTGGAGTTAGAACAATATCAGTTAAAATTCATTTCGTCAGACATGCATGAGATTTCATCTAATTTCGTGCTCGTTCTAAACTATCTACATTGATCTTTTCTTTATTCATTTATTAATCCAAAATGTTAATCACGTAATCGAAACATGAAGGGCAAGAGGAAGATAAAATTAAATCAGTGTTATACACTAAATTCTTTTTGTTTCTTCTTCTTTTTTTTCTTTTTTTTTTTTTTTTTTTGTTAATTCTTTAGTGATATTTAGTAGTTTATACATACGATCACATTATATTTAATGTAAAATTTTTAATATTTCATTTTTAATATCCTTTGCAATTCATTTCAAAACAAAAATATGATATATAGTCTTCATAACTTAGCATTGAAATGTGAATAAAGGTTAATTCATTGTCTCGAGAGGAACGTCAACTCAATTTTATTGTGGAATTCGTCTATTTTAGTCTATTATGAAATTCATTTATCCGCGATACACACACACACACACACACATATTTATATATACACACTCATAAATCGTGTTAAAAATAAATTAATTATCGCTGGAAATGTACTCGTTCATTTCTGTTAATGAAAAAGATGGCAAATAAGAGTGCAACTCTTTTCATTGGAAGGACTACATGTATGAATCACCGAATCAAGGGCAAGTTCAGGTGTCCTTGATTTCAAATAAAGGTGATTCATAATATTAAGAACATCCGAAATTATGTATAATTTGAAAAATAACGAAGATCTATTTTAATCATCTATTTGTTTAAAAATTAATATCTTTTATAATATGGAAAAGTACCTAAGATAATAATACGAATCACTCGCATAGTTATTGATCAATCAACAACGTCACCTTACTCTTCAAGGCTACAACAACGATAACTAGTGATACTTTGTTAGTGTTTACAAAAAAAAAAAAAAACAAATATTATCATTTCTTATCTATCCATTCGTTATAACGTATTAATAAGATTTATACAGATGGTTTTTTGTTTTTATAAATTCCTTTGTTAATTTTGTCTCTTCGAATTTTGTTTTACTTGGTTCGTTCGATGTCGTCATCATCACGAATGGATTTCATCTTCGACATCTGTCTCGTTCGTTTAATTCTTTCAACGCATCTTTCGATTTTCTTACATCGAGTTACGCATAAAACGTTTCTAAAAGCGTACCTTATACTTACATTTACTTCCTGTATTTGTATGTAATAAGTAAAGTTCTTCAAGAAGAAAGGATTTTAAAACATATCAAAATGAAAATAAACGCTTAATACTTGACGATAAGCTTTTATCTGCTAAATTATATATAGTATCCATTGCATTTTTATTCGATCGTATCATTCTTATTTAATGTATAATAAAAATTGTGTATTTTATTATAATCAAGTTATAATAAGTGATTTAAAGAAACGTCCATTAAGTGTTCTAATTTCGTTAACATAAAATGCATATGTATGAAAATAGGACGTTTTTTTATATATACATATATATAAATATTACCTAGATACCATTTCGATAAATTTGAAAAGCACTGATCCAAAGTGAATAATTCTTGTTTTCTTTTTTTATGTTTCTTTTTGTTTCTTTCTCAAATACCTTATCGAAAGGATCTGAACTAAAAATATGTCTTTTTGGGATTCTTTTAGAATGTTGTAAGAATGCCGTCGCTATTGGAAGCCTTAGAGCTCAAGTACGGTAGCTCGACAACAGAATGCTCGTTGACGGACGACGAAGGAGAATCTGGCTCACCGAAAGCAGCTCTCTCAGTCAGCATTTTCATTCCAAAAAAATCACCACGTCATACGGTACCGGCATTGTTGGTCCTGCAGGACTGCGATATCGAGTGTGCCGGTAATGACGATGAAAAACTACGTAACAAATGTAAGAACGTTGAGGAATTGGACCTGGCACAGAACAAGCTCTCGCAATGGACTGAGGTCTTTGGTATACTTCAGCACATGCCCAAGATCAAGTTCGTTAATCTTAGCTTCAACTGTCTCGCCGAGGTGTTGGAGATCAAGCATGGCAACTACGATCTACTGAGGAATCTCGTATTGAATGGCACCAGAGTCTCCTGGTCGACGGTTCAAGGCTTAATACGTTTGCTACGTAATCTTGAAGAACTTCATTTGTCCTTGAACGAGTATAAAACTGTCGATTTAGATTATCGAAAGGTAGAGAACGTTAATAGATCATTGAAGAAGTTACACTTTACTGGGAATCCCGTTGAAGTTTGGAATGAAATATTGAAGTTAGGCTACGTTTTTCCGAATCTGGAAAGTCTCGTTTTAGCCGAATGTCCGATTAGATCTCTTGGACTTGAAGAAAATCGTAATTTATCTAACGATCGTGAAGATCTTCGGAAGCAAAATGAGGATTCGGAAAATTGTACGCAGGATAACGAGAATATGAATAACGTTGATGTCGAAGGACGTACATCGGTTGACGAATCGGGTAAACACATTATCACGGAGAACAAAGTCAGCTACGATAGGTCAGAATCGGAATCAGAGTCCAGTAGTAATAAGGTCCCATCACCTCACGATCCTTTTAGAATGCTTAGGTTCTTAAATATGAATGGAACATTGTTGGGAACTTGGGACGAGGTCGAACGACTTTCGAGATTTCCTGCATTGAAATCTTTAAGAATTCACAGCTGTCCCTTATTCGAAGTAAGTAACACTTGGGAATGATCTTTCTTTTTTCTTTTTTTTTTTTTTGTCTTCATTCTTTGCCTCTGATTTTATCGTAGAAGATAATTATACGATAAACAACAAGTTAAATATCTTTTATTCTCTATTCTCTTTGTTTATCTCATAGAGTCCTCGAGAATACACGGAACATGAAAGACGTCAGTTGTTAATAGCAAGGCTTCCCAATGTCGAGACTTTGAATGGTGGTGGAGTAATCTCGTCGCAAGAACGCGAGGACGCTGAAAGAGCCTTCATTCGTTACTACATGGACAAACCGGAAGCTGACAGACCAGAAAGGTAACTTCAAATTTAATTTATATAGAATAGAATAAAGATCAATTGACCAGTAATCTGTCCTTCGATGATCTAAATTCTACCTATTAAACTCATTAATTAATTATATGTAATTGTTTTTGACATGCGTATGCGTACGTTATAATGTGTCCTGTCCTTCTTGTAAATGAAATAATGAAATTGTAAAAATCGATTTTTAGATATTCGGAGCTTGTGGCTATTCATGGGAAATTGGATCCTCTAGTACACGTTGACCTAACACCAGAGAAGAGGGTCAAGGTAACATTCACTTACGGAGATCTTGTCGAGGTAATTTTAAGTATTTAATTACTCATTTACTTATTGTTACGAAATAATTTCAAATCAAATATTTATAATCTTTTAATATAATTAATAATGAAGTTGATTAAATACAAATTCGTCTAAATTATTCTTTTTAGGTACGATCGGTAGATGTATATAGAACAGTTTTCGAATTAAAAACAAAACTGGAATCGATGGTGAAAATACCAGCGAATAGGATGAGACTCTTCTACGTAGATCAAGTGAGTTCAATTTTTTAATTAACTAATACGAATGTTGTTGCTTGTTTTCCAGAATTTTTGGTTCCTCGAACGGTGTCTTAATAAATGTGAAATAACGACTTAAGACCTTCCACGAATCCGCTGAATTTTTCCTTTGTCCTAAATGATCATCATTCGAATCCTTTTTATCAATTTTCTATTCTTAAGTGTTAATGAATTCGAGGTAAACATAAATGAAAAAAATGTTAAAGCTTCATTAGAGTATAACAAAGATGAATTTATATAATAATTATAATAATTATTACTATTATTATTTATCGCATTACAGGTGATGAAGGCACACCATGGACCCGAGGAGATGTTGTATCCTAACAAACAACTCTATCGGTACAATATTAGCAATGGTGACGAGATCATAATAGATAGCAAATTGAATCGATGCGCATCAGCACCTTCGAGTACGTCTTCCATACGATCCTGAGAAAAGTCCACTCAAGACTTGGAAACTTCCTAAATGCTCGATCATTTTCTTCGGTACATCGATTTTCGTAAATCGACATGATCAATACGATACAAAAAAACGAAAAGAAAGACGATCGAAAAAGTTTTTTCCATATACGGATAATAATTGAGCCTCGTCGATTCGTCGAGATCGAGAGTCTATTAAAGTTTCTTATTCTGGGAACTCGAATTCGATGAGAAAAATGAGATAATACAATGATTAAAAACAATAACAATTTTTAAAGAAAAGAAAGAGAGTTGATAATGAAAATGAAATTCGTCATTACGCTCTTATTGTTTTTAAGGAGAATAAAGAAAAGAGGAAGAAGGAACAGAAAATGAAGAAGGAGATAAAGTACATGATAATCTTGACAGTTAAAACACGATAACACGTCGACCATAATTTCATTATATATTCACGAATTCAAAAAAACGTTGCGAAGTACGTACAGTTACAAATAATTAAAGAATATTACGAGGACAAGGATAATACGTATGAAGCTCTTGAAAAGCGTTTTCAGAACAGACTATTTTTTATGCTTCGCATATAATTTTTCATAATTTATCATCTTATGATGCGGTTGAATGAACAACCGATACTACTAGCTATAATTACTAACGTTATAACAGACATAAATAAAATTCGTAAATAAAATCAAACACATGTCTCTAAACGATTTACGTTTGATAGAATCTTCTCTCATAAAAAAAAAAAAAATAATTCGACTCGATGATGATTCTCGTTGTTAAGAATAGAATGAACTTGAAAATTGAAAGCAATAACTATCATGTTTCTTCATTTATTCTTACATTATCAAATTGAATTATACGTACATATGTAACATCGATGAGAAACAAACGTGTATAATTGTACGACAAACGTAATTGATATTCCATTTAAAAAGAGAATTTTATCCTGTGTCTATTGTCAACAAGAAGTCTGTTGTCGATGTATCATCATCGATAGAATTCGTGCAAGATGTGTTATATATTTTAAAAGAAAAAAAAGAAAATTATGCTTTATACGATTCTTTGTACTTAAAAGTCATAAAAGAGAAATGATTTATGCGCTAGTTCCTTTGCACGTTAAGGGAATCTCGTCGTAAATCGATGAAAGACAAACGTAATGATAAGAATAAGATCCAACGATAAATCCGTATGGCTCTGATAAAAAGCAAAAGTCCAATATATGAGCTGGTGATTATGAAAGTGGTTTAAGTAAAAAATTACAAAAATAACATTAGTTTATTATGTAATTCGTATGGTTATAGCCTAATTAAATGAATTACGCAATAAACTAATTTGCTCAAAGTTTCTACTTATTATTAGACAACCTTCATAATAACCGACTCATACTAAAAAGAGAAACTCATATATATACACACATACACACACACACACACACACACACACACACATACACACACATATATATATATACCGTGCCAAAAAACAGGGTCTTCAATCGATTTCTCGGTCGTCGAAAATATCTCAACGACGAATCTATTTTTTTGGATTTAATTATTTTGATCTCTCGATCTTTGCAAATAAATCTAATTTCCAATTACAATTCCCTACTTGTTAATAACTTATGCATTTAATATAAAATAACAAATAACTCTTAAAAAATCGAAACGTTTTATACACATGCAAAAAGATAATAGAATGAATTAAAAAAAAAAAAAAAAAAAAAAAGAAATGTAATCATTAATTTGTTTGTAATGAACAAATGTAAATTCGTTTATTTTTTCTATATATATCACATCGTCTCTTATTTTTTCTTTACTACATATACATTCATACGCACGCACTTACGCGCGCGCGCATACACACACACACACACAGATATATCTATTTATCTATCAGTATATTTACTCATATTCTATATTTATACATTTCTCCTGGAAACTTTATATGTATTTTCTTAAAATGATTTCAGTATTTCTTTCTTGCATATCAAGTAGATCATTAATTGTATATTGGACTCGTAATTCTCATCATTTCCCAAAGAGACAAAGATACGTTTATCTGCTTCTTCTAGTTAACCATCGTCTACCTATCGCATGGCTCTCGATGAAATCTGTCGATCTTCTTACTCTCAATTATACGAGCTTCTAGAAAAGCTTACATAAAGATTTCAAGCATAAGATTCCCTAACAAAAATTTAGACATTAATAATTTAGCTGAAATTTAAGCATAACTAACATTTCAAACTAAAGCAACCTTTAAAGTTTTTTAATCGATCCTCTTAACACGTTAATTTTTCTTACACGTTTGTTAAAAATCTTTGCACGATAGTAAAGATTAATGGATATGTATCTATGAAAAAATTGAGTCTATTTCGATGGACTTTAAATAAGAGAGAGAGAGAGAGAGAGAGAGAGAGAGAGAGAGAGAGAGAGAGAGAGAGAATGTTGCGTGCTTATAAAATGTTGCGTATAAATGTAATAATATTATTTTTACAGGCTCGAGCAATGTTAGTAGAGTAACTTGTAGAATCGTTCGTTAATGTTTTATAAAGAGGTCGATGAGCGTTGTTTATAAGTTGTAACTTGCGCGTTATTAATAATTATTAGATCAACGTCGAAATTAGAAAATCTCAATCATTCGTTTGTCCGGGACGAACTTTAAAGAGTCACTTAGTGCCTATCTTCTTAACGAGCTTTTCTGCTCAGATATTTCTACCACTGCCTTGTAAATACCGTTGATATATGTACGGTAATCCAGATTGGCAAGGCACTGTATATAATTAAAAACCAAAAAAAAAAAAGAAATAAAAAAGATATAAAAGAAAAACAAAAGGTAAAGAAATAACACGCGATTAGTATTTTCTCAACAAAAAAAAAAAGAAAAGGAGAAAATTTCTGTCGGTCTATCATACCTGTAATTATGAGCCTCGTTCGATCACATGCTATCAAATTGGTGATAAAAATTAAAAAATCAAGAAAAGACAGATGGATGATAACCGCAAAAGTTGTTAGATTCTGATCTCAAAATTTCGTACGATGTTTTGATTCAATAATTGCATGTATGTATGTATACGTCATACATCGTTTACGAAATTGGAAAAGAATCGAGACGTATGATTTTCTGCAGATAGGAATCGTACGAGAAAGTGTTATTTTTGTTTTCGCTATTGTCTATCGATTGCTGCATAAGATTGCATTTCTTGTTTTTTACTTTCTTGATTTAATTCGATTCGAGGGTTTCGACGTCATTTAGGCCTAAAGAAAAATATTGGAATATGAAAATTGATTGAAAATGAATTTTATCGGTGATTGCCTTTTGCTGCGGAAAATCGAAACGATTGAAATCAAAGTGGACGAACGCTGTGATCTAGCGCACTATACGTGTCTAATCTCGGATCTTGATATTCGTCTCATTTTCATTTTATAAAACATGATCATTTTTTTTGTGCTGGCGCAAATGTACGTACTAACAAAATAAATCGTTTACACTATACGTACTGATTCTCAATGATTGTTATCTATGTTATCCTTGAATATACTTGTGTTTCTTCATCAATTTTTTCTTAGTTGAATGTTACTATAATGACGTCTGAATAATAAACATTACGTTTATTAATTCTGAAGAGAGGCAGTATTTTATTGTTTAAAACCGCCAAAGTAGATAACTTGGCGAAGGAAATAAAAAAAGGCACAAGATACAGATCCTAGGAATTAATAAATACAGATGGCCGAGCGTGGACATCTGCCAACACGAATGGAACTCTGGGAATAGTACGCAGAACTGATATCACTGAAATGGAATAGATATTTTCATCATTTCCAAACTCACGAAATATGACAGGAATTTTACACTCATCTTGAATAGACTTATGCTATTGTAAAAAAAAACGGACATCCATTCCACATAAACATTACACAAACCTATGCGCCAACATCAGAAAAAAAGTATGATGAAGAAGTCGAAAAACTTTATACATCCATCGAGAGGACTATTCAAATAATGATATAACTTTCATCATAGGAAACTTCAATAGTTAAAATTGAATAAGAAAGATGGATGAACATTATGAGAGACTATGGATTAAGGGAATGCAACGTTAAAGACAAAAAGTTCTATCAATTCTATAAAGAGATGGGAATAAAGATAGCTAACATCTACTTCAAATGTATTGTAATTATCTAAGTGATGATACACCTGTAAGTGAGAAATCACCTCTTGATTCCACCTCCGAAAGGGACAGTTTAGATTAGGAAATAAATCGAATACATTCTGATAAATAAGCAATTCAAAAATTGAGTCAACAAATTACTCGAACTTAGATATTGGATCAAATTATAACTGTTAAATACGTAAGAGCGCTATATATCGAAATTATTTGAAGATTGTAGATCGGAATCATATGAAATTAACAATTACGAGGATACCAAAATTTTTAATTGAAGTTCCCCTGTGCTATTTTCAGTAAAATGAATTTCTTCATTAATCCTTCTCCGATAATGATATAAATCTTGAACTCTGTTATAAAATGGCAAAATGTCATATTTGGTACATCTTCTTATATGGCGTAGAAATGTGGACTCTTAAAATGTGAAAAACGAACCATTTACACAATACATGCCTTTGAAATGTAAATACTCAGGAGAATATTTTGAATGTATTGGTTTGAAAAAATAACTTAATGTTTCTATGAGTTCTTTTTTAGAATTCATAAAAATCGGGAATTAAGCGAGGGAAAATAGTTTATTTCATGTATATACTGAAAGAGAAAAAATACGAACTTCTACAACTAATAATCAAAGAAAAGATTAATGATCGACGCGATATAGACAGAAAGCAATTATCCTGCCTCAGAAATATCCACGAGTGGACAGAATACGAAAGGTTGAGTATCTCTTCAGGATAATAGAAGATAAAATTGCATTCATGTCAATAATCATCGATGTCAGTTGTACGAGTATTTATATTTGTTTAAATGTTAACTAAATATTAAATATGAGCATAAATACAAAAGAATGTTTAATTAGAAATGAAATTTAAATGGCATAAATTATAGATGGGCAACTAATAGATTACGGTCCGCATGTAAACTTTGCTTCTGTTTATTTATTCAGTAAAGTAAAAGAAAACAAATCTTCATTATTTGATACTGCCGTGTGCAATGAATTGTGCAATTTTTATTATCAAGAGTGATGAAATGATGATTGTTGAATTTAAATAGTGGAGAGATCGAATTGATTGATGATGAGACCATGTGATTCGCGACAAAAAAGTTGCTCACCTATGATTAAATATTAAAAGTATATCGAATGAATAATGTCTTTAAAAATTCAAACTAAGTATACTATTAAATAATTTTCATATTATAAAACTTTATTTCATTTTGAATAACATTCATTTTTGTTTTCTTTGTTTATGAATTTTAATTTACATGTGGTTAATCCATTTAATAATTGGAATCAGAAAAAAGAAGAATGTGTTTTATATAACATCAACTCTTCCTAAACATTTTCTAATACTATTTATATTACCGGTGACTCATGCGACGTCTGTCGGCTACGATACGAAGTGCGACAGTAATTTAAGGACGTCGTTATGGAAGTAACAGAATATTCTTATACATCTTTTGATATCTGACATATATGGTTTATAAATAATACAGTAATACATTATCTTTACTATATATGCATTCTTAATTATATAATAAATATTCTATCATAAATAATATTAACGTAATGGTTACTTAACATAAGGTTTAATGTATAATAAGTCGCAGTTATATCGTAGGTTAAGTATTTGTATTAAGTATTAGGTTATATCACAAAACTCGACTCACTTGATACAGTATTATCAGATGAAGTTTTCTATAAGTGACAGGAGAAGGCGCTTCAATCAACTTAAACTAGTTAGAATGAAACTCGTTGTTTCTTTTTGTCGTGATATAAATGATAATTTAAAAATTTTTATACAAATGTAATTTCTTTGTTTTTTCATGAAGTGTTTTGTTGACATAAAAAAATAAATAAAAGAAAGAATTTTTTTAATGGGATAAAACTGTCAACACATTGGGAATAATGGCGATGTTTGAAGCATTGAGAAAAGACTATAGCGTATGTATCGTTTTGGATTATTTGCGACACGTGCAACACATGTTTACATAATAAAAATTGTTATGATTATTTATAGGATTATTTACAACAATGTTTCAAGATAGCTGATGTGATTACATTCCAAAAGAAATGTATCGAACAATGTGCCAATGAAAGTGATCGGAAAGCTGCTGTAGATCAAGCTCTCCGTGATACATTACTTACAATTTTGATAGAAGATACACCTGAAAATGTAGGATCTCTTGAATCTTACATCACATTTTGTATCGAATTATGTAGAAAAGATTTAGCAACTGTTACTATGCCGGTCATGTTGCTTGGAGATATATTTGATTCTATGACATTGGATAAGTGTGAAAAACTCTTTACATTCGTTGAAAATAATGTGGTTGTCTGGAAAGAGGATCTCTTTTTTAGTCTTTGTAAAAATAATTTATTACGAATGTGCAATGATTTGCTTAGACGCTTATCTCGTTCTCAACAAACCGTATTTTGTGGTAGAATTCTATTATTTCTTGCAAAGTTCTTTCCATTCTCTGAAAGATCTGGACTTAACATTGTTAGTGAATTTAACTTAGAAAATCTAACAGAATTTGGCACTGAGAAAGCAGAAGATGTTCTGGAACAAATAACAAAAGATGAAGATAAGACTGAGAATAAAATACCTATAGATTATAATTTGTACAGAAAGTTTTGGGCTTTACAAGATTTTTTCAGAAATCCTAATCAGTGCTATAACAAAATGTATTGGAAAGTATTCTCAGCGGTAAATAAAAACAATTATATTATTATTAATCGATTTTATAAAATTGAATTTTTGTAATAATAATTTATTATTTTTGTTATAGCATGCATCTAATGTTCTGTCAGCATTTTCTTCTTTTAAATTGGAAGAGCAACGTAGTTATCCAACTACATGTATAAGATTAGATTCTACGATGGAAGGTTCTCATAAAGAAACGCATTATTTTGCAAAATACCTTACTAATCAGAAATTGCTGGAATTACAACTTTCTGATTCAAATTTTAGAAGATATGTACTGTTGCAGTTTTTGATACTTTTCCAGTATTTGAATAGCACCGTAAAATTTAAAGCGTAAGTAGAAATTAATGTAAAACAATTCCTAAGTATTTGATTTTTAAAATATCTAAAGTCGTAATAACGTAGTAAAGTTCTCCTAAGCATTTAGTAAAAGCTTTAGAAAGTCATAAAACGATGTTTGTTTTCCAAAGCTTCCTTGCCAGTGGCTATGAGACAAGGTCTGCTTTTATTAAATTGAACATTATGATTTTTACTTTACCGTATCTCAATGATATGTTTCATATTTAAGCGAGACGCACGAATTGAAGCCAGATCAAGTGGAATGGGTTAAAGCTACAGCGGAACAAGTTTATACCTTGTTGACAGAAACACCACCTGATGGTCCATCGTTTACCGAAACTGTGAAGAATATTTTAAAACGAGAAGAGCATTGGAATGCATGGAAAAATGAGGGTTGTCCACCTTTTAAAAGACCTGCGTCTGAAAGTACTACAGAAGCTGATGATGATGCTAAGAAAGTTAAAAGATCAAAACGAAGAATTGGCGACGTTATTAGAGATGCTCAAGCTGTTGGGAAATATCACGTGGGAAAGTTAGTCATTTCATTTCTTTTTCAATCTTTTATAATATACTATTAGAAATTATATTTTAGCAAGTAAATATATAAATTTATATTTTATAGTCCAGAGCTTACTAAATTATGGAATCTTTGTCCAAATAACTTGGAGGCATGCAAGTCGAAAGATAGAGATTTTCTACCATCATTAGAGACATATTTTGAAGAAGCTATAATGCAATTAGATCCAAGCGCAATGGTGGAAGAAGAATATAAGTGAGATATGCTTTTAAAGGATAGTAATGTTTAATAGTTAACATTTAATTATAACATTATGTTTTTATAGAAAAGTAAATGATGGTAATTTTGGATGGAGAGCATTGAGATTATTAGCTAGAAGAAGTCCACACTTTTTCGTTCATGGAAATAATCCAATAAATAGACTTCCAGAGTATCTGGAAACTATGATAAAAAAGATTGCTAAAGATCGACCAGTGAGTGTTAATATTAATTTTAAAAGTATTTTGATAATAAGGGATTTTCATATTATCATTAATGTCTTGTGTTTGTGGCGATAAAATATATCCTTTATTGATAAATATGTAATCGAAATTACAGCAAGCACAATCCGATGTAAAGGTCGAAGCAGAAGATACTCCGCCACCAGATTCAAACGATCAGGAATATAGCGAAGATGTTTTAAAGCAAGAAAGTGAACAAACGGATAATGAAAATGTAGAAACAAAAGGAAGAGAAAGTAAATTGAATAAAGTTACACCCGAAATGGTAGCAAAATTATCAGAAGTGCTCAAGGGGGATTGGAAAAAATTAGCAGCTAAGTTAGGTTATACTAATGACGAGGTTAGTCTTCTATTTGATTCATAAAAGAATCAAATTAGAATTTTGTATAATATATAATATATATTTTTTACAGATTGTATTTTTCCAAGGCAAACCAACTCCTTACGAACAGTGTAAAAGTATGTTAGAAATTTGGGCAGAAGAGGATGAGGATGCATCTGTAGAAAATTTGGCATATATTCTTGAAGGACTAAAGTGTACAGAAGCAGTGGGTATTTTAAAGACTTAAAAAACAATTTTTCAATTTTCTATAAATGTGAATAAATCGTTAGTCGAATATAACATTGTGATGTATATAATTACGAGTTATTTAATAAATAAATCAATTTTTATCGTCGACTCATATCAATAGTTACTTTATGCGTATACCAGGGAGAATGATTGAAGGTGTGAAAAATGCACTTTCCGTTTTTATTTAGAAAGATGATAATAAAGTGTACAAATAATACAAAATTTGGAACTAAAATGTTGTCAGTGCAAACTATATTGAAGGATAATTAGTTGTACGTTATTCTTTTTTTTTTTTTTCTTGGGCGCCGCGGTCTAAATTACATTAAAAAGTTCCATTTATTTGCGTTGTATTCGCCGACAAGCATGCTGACAACCTAAGTATATAGAGTTACAACGTTTTTTTTTTTTCTCTTTTTCTACATAACTGTAATAAATTAGTTTAATGTTAATCGTAATATATTTTCAAGTTACAGACAACACTGATTCGATTCATGCTCGTGATATGAAGCGGTAATGATAAGATGGGAAAAATGTTCGTTTCCTGAAAGAGTAAGAAGTACGAACTGAACGAGTGAACTCTTTTAAATAAGTTTATGAAGATATTATTATTCGTTAGTCTGGCAGTTTACGAAGCTTTGGCGATTCTCCAAGAAACCATTCACTCGTACAGTTCTCGATCAGAAAACAACACTGTACGATTATGAGACAATTAATGCAACTTACATATCGCGCAGAGCATAAATCTGATCTTCACTTGAAACGAACAGCGACTCATCATATGGAATTCTTAATTGATGTTTCTCTTACATCTAACATACACACTCATATGTATCGGCTAAAATGTAAACGCGTCTCGATGCGCGGATATGATCTCCGTTTAGATTTACTTAGGTTTTTAAAGAGCAATAATTTACGATCTAAACATCAAATCGTGATCAATCGTGCGTGCCTTAGAAATTTTTCCATTCAGAGTTTTCTCCTCTTTTTAGGACATCAGGCAAAGAGAGAGAAGGAAATTGAGCGCTGGACGTAGATAATTTTTTAAAGGGAACGCTTAAATAATTCGAGAGACAGAGAATGCTCTGAGATTCTGAAAGTTTATGAGATTTTCTTCCTTTTTCTTTCTTTCTTTTTTTTTTTTTTTTTCAAAACTTATCCGCTCGATTCGACGTTTTCATTAATATTACGGTATGATGATCGATATGAAACGTTGACGAACGTAGTATGTCTAGACGATCAGTCTTCTTTTTAAGAGGATAAACGGAAACTTCTTTGAAGCGATAATAAGGGCTTTGCTTACGAGTTATAACTTTGGAAATAGAGAGGATAGTAGCATTCCAGGATATGAGAAACGAGATGAAACGTGACCGTTTCCATTCTTTTCGCGATTTGTTTCACATTCATTCTAAACATTTTTGTTTTTGGTATATGTGTCACTCGAGGTTTTCTTTTTTTTTTTGTTTTTTTTTGTTTCAATGCGAGTACAGTTATCTCATTCACAGTTTGTTTGATACAATCTTTACGGTCGGTACATCTCGATTTCTATTTACATAACGGCTTGGAAATATTTATGTTTAACGAGAATCTTCAATTTTTCATTAACGCTTCCAAATGTCTCTTATAATCGCTCTCTGTCATCTCTACGTCATCTTCCACAGCATCGCTGTTCCTTCGTCTTCTCGTGACCTCGCTGGTCACTTCTATGCAGAGTAGGGCAAACTTGTTATCGCAGGAGTAACGAACTTGCTCCAAAAGCCGACCTCCTATTAGAGGTGATCCTAATCCATAACGATCAGAGCTGCTTGAATGCCAGGCATCGCAATAAGTGTCCATCGCTCTATCTCCGAGTTTGTGCGAACCATGCCATGCTACTTTCTCCGGCCTAAAATGATAGATAATTCATAATAATTCATACTAGATCACGAAAAAGTGATTTTATAAGAATTCGATGGAAAAAGTGAAATATTTATTTATTGTTTGATTTAAGATTATCATTAATCAATTATGTTTGTTCATATTTCTCTGATTATTTAAATATGACACTTTAGAAATAGATCTCACTGCACGCTTCGTTGATAATATGTAGCATTTAGCATCGTAGATTCTTGAGATAAACGATAAATAAGGTAGTTCATGTCAGTTAATTAGATTTTTAGAAAGTTTGTTATTGTGATCATTTGAGTCTAATTTTTTCGATTCACTTTGCTACAAGCGTTGCTTACGAGCACCATCTATTATTAACTTTTTTAATCCTATCATTAATCCTCACGACAAATAATCTTGTTTAACTTAAGCTGCATAGAGCGTTGTTTAAAATAGATGTTAAAAGAGTTTTTCATTGATAAATGGCATTCCCAAGTAATATTATCGATGAAGTTTGGAGTGATGCCTATCTTCAAATCTCGTACTTAATATTTATATATATATATATATAATTATAAATTAAACAATTATCGAGAATAAATGTAATAGATTAATAATAATCTCAAATAAGATAATAAAAAAGAAATTGATTATATATTACAGTATTTTACTATAAATAATTGAACTATTCGAAACTGCTTGTTTTCGTTTCTAACAATTTCATATAGTATTGATTGATCACTGTTATCTTTAAAAATTATTATTAATTACCAGGCAAAGTCTGTTAGAATATTTTTCCCATTGAAACTATAGATTCTTGGGTTTTGAGAAAAGTAGGCTCCATTGCCATTGAACATTTCTTTCCACGAATTGAAAAGAACGTCACCCTGAAAATGTTCAGATTTTATTTTTGTTTATCCTTTGAATAATAATATAATAAATAATTTTTTATTAAAGATTTTACCTTGATATTAACGATTGGAAGATCACGATCTCCAAGTCTGACGATACTATCAACGTTTTGCACTCTGGAGCTTAAGAATGCACGGAAAGTACCTCTCAAGCCTGCTCTCTTTGCTTGACGATAGCAAGCGTAATCTGCACCTCTTACACCATGCATGTCTCCGGTAAATGGTTCGTTTAGTGCTGCCATTCTTAACTAAAAAATTACATACATATCATAATAAGTATATACTTTTTAATTAGATAATGAACCTAATTAGTCAAAATGTGTCTTAAATAATGACATAATTTATCTTACCATTCGAGGATACCACTTGATAGCAGAAAGAAATTATTATTTTCAGTTTAAAATCGGATAAATTTATATAAATTTTCCTATAAAGTATATTAAATAAAGATAACTCACTCCTGTACCGTCCGCCTTCACTGGTATTTGATTTATTAGGTTTGAAGCTTCGAAAGGTGGATTTGCTGGAGGTGGTGCCGTTGTTGGTGGTGCAGGAGTTGTTATTGGAAGAAGGGAGCCAAGCTGAAAGATATGAGATAAGTATACAACACTATCAAATATATGTTTTGCATTCAAATTGTTATACTAACTGCTATATATTGCCATCCATTGTTAACTCTTACAAGCAAAGCTTGTTCGTCTATGATATATGCCAGAGTTCCAACTGGGCTGACACTCGACATCTACGATATCAAGGGAAAAGCTATTAATATAAAAACGAATTTTCGGAAAGTATTACTGTAATATATACAAGTTAATGATATCTTTACCTTTGTCATAGCTTCCGTATTTTGAAATGTTACTGCTCCTGGGACAATCTTTGTTGTACTTTCCAAAGGACCTCTAGTAGCCGCGGTAACAGAACCTTTAATGGAACGGTATAGATTTACTGATAATAATTAATCTTATCTATGAAATATATAATTAAACTAACAAGATTTCGCAGATTCCTTTTATTTTATTAACACAAACGATATTTAAACGAGAATATATTTACGAGTTTCAATGATTAACAATGATTGATATAATATTATGAAAGTTTTCTGTGTTATGATAATTTATGAAGCTACCTAAATGTTCCTTTAATTCTTTCAGCTGCTTTAATTCACGAAGTGCCTTCAATTCGTCCAAACTGCTTCTGGGTCCTTGCGATACGCACGTAAGCAAATTTATATTTAAATTATGAGGCATTCTCATGGGAAATATGTACATGCATATATTTCTACAAACGTTGCCATTTATATATTGACGCTGCTTTATTATCTTTAGTTATGCATGGTATCCTACCTTGTCTCATTCCATAATAATCTCTTTCTCCGAAAATATGACTTCTACCAATTCCTGGTTCGCCTTTTTGCCCTATCAAAGAGAGTCCAGGTGGACCTGGAGGTCCTGGGGGACCTGGAGGTCCTGGTACAGCAATATAGTTTCCTTGAGAAGATGGGCCAGGTGGACCAGGTGGTCCTGGTGGTCCTCGTTGTCCGTCTCTTCCATGCTGTCCTGGAATTCCTGGCATTCCATCATCTCCTTTTTCACCTTTCCTCTAAAATAAACGATGTGGTACGTATGTGAGCATATTTTATCTGTTTTTTTTTTATCTCGAAGATTATTATACAAGAATCTTACACCAACTGGGATTCCATAAGAACTTGGTGCTCCTGGTTCTCCTTTCTCTCCTTTCGATCCAGCCGAGCCTGGACTTCCTGGAATTCCTGGTGTTCCAGGACGGCCCTATGAAAGTTTATAAGACAAGTATTAGTTATCGGAAATCGATAAATACGAAACTTACTTCCTCTCTCCAAACAAAATTTATATTTGTACTTAAATTCTCGTTCATTATTTTCTTTTTCTTTCTTACCTTTATATTATTCTTCATGCAGCATTAAAAGAGAAAAATGCATGAGTTTATTCGATAATATAATGCAGGATATGTAAAAGAGTTTATTCGGGTATAAAGAAATCAAACGATTAGGTCAGAGAAATTTATTCTTTCCTTACCATCCATCCTGGTAGACCAATTTCTCCCATTACTCCTGGCTTTCCGGGTGGTCCAACAGGACCTGGTGGTCCAGGACGACCTCTTCTTCCTCTTTTACCTTCTGCACCTTTTTCTCCTTTGATGGTAATATAGTCACCGGAATTGGCGATGGCAGTAACACCAGGAGGACCCCTTTCACCCCTTTCTCCTTTCAAACCCGGAATTCCAGAAGCTCCGGGAACTCCGTCCTTACCGGGTTCGCCTTTATCTCCTTGCGGTCCTTGAATTCCATTTACACCCGGTATACCGGCTGGTCCGGACTCCCCTTTATCTCCTTTTTCGCCTTTAGTTCCTTGATCGCCTTTATAACCACGTGGTCCGGATTCACCCTTCTCACCCCTCTCTTCTAACCCTTTACATGAATTTCATAAATCACTTTTCATGAACGGAGTTAATTCAGAATTTTTGTAACTATAGAAAAATTATTATTCGTAACTTATTCTATTTATCGTTTGATTTTTTAACAGGATAGTTATTAAATTATCGAACGTTTTAATCATTAGTAAATATTCCATTCATTGAGAATGGACAATAATAATCATCGTATAAAAATGGATTTTTACGAATCGTTTCTCTAATCGTAAAAGATACATATAAAATTACGATGCAAATGTAGAGGAAATTGGAAAAAATACAATCGTATATTTACTTGAATAGAGTGAATTAATTAAAGAATTCTAATTAAGATATGCATTTCAATTAAAAGAAAGAAATATTTTAGGCTAAGGAAGTTCCTTGAGTTTAAAGATATTTGGTAGTAAAATAGTGGTACGGAACCATTTACGCTTTGTAGAATTTGCATTCAGTGAATTTAGTTAACGAATAAGCGTATCAAGTTATTTTGCCAGCTGTTGATAGAGAAGTAATACTGTAGCACGAGTTGGAAATAGAATAGATCTCGTTATACAAAGCAATGTTTGCGAATATTTTATAATTTCGTTTAGATATTCTAATAACTTTATCGTTGATCTTTATACATTATATAATATTTAATGAAATTCAAAGAGGTAATTATTAAAAATTTCACCTGAATCACCACTATATATTACACAAACTGCATTAATAATTTTATCTTTATATATGATTTTTAATAAATTTGAATGAGCTAATTATAGAAATTTTCACCTGTATCTCCAACGTTTATACCACCTGGACCACTGGGCCCTGGTGATCCTGGTGGACCAGGTGGACCTGGTTTCCCTTCGGGCCCAGCATCACCTTTGTCACCCTTTTCTGCTGGTCTTCCATTCTCTCCAGGTGCACCAGGAAGTCCTGGCGCTCCTGGAGCACCTGGTTCTCCTTTGAATCCTTGTATTCCTCTTGGACCTTCCTTCCCGTGTTCTCCTTTTCCACCCTTGTGACCAGGTTCTCCCTTGACGCCTTTTCCACCCGGAATTCCGGCTTCTCCTTTTGGACCAGGATTTCCTGCTGTACCTGATTCACCTTTCTGTCCTGGTAGACCTGGTCTCATCGTGATACCTTCGGTCTAAATAAAATAACAAATATTAGTTATATATTCTTCGATCCATATTTCAAATCGTACGAATGAATAGACTTAGATTGATAATGATTTAAATTATTAAGTTGTTAAAAGATCTTTGAATTTCATTCTTCCATACAAATTCATCAATCTAGTTTCATATACTGAACAAAGTTATGTATTCTCATATTTTATATTTATATAGGATAAAACATTTAAATAGAAATGTTTGAATTAGTTTGGTTATATATATATAATATTTTATTAAGTGTTATATATATTTTATTAAGTATTATAATATTTTATTAAGTGCTATCCTGCAAATATATATATATATATATATATATATATAAATATATAATAAATATATATATATATATTTGCAGGATAGCACTTAATAAAATATTATACTTTTTGAGAAGATAAGTATAGTGATAGAAAAATTTTTCCTATACATAAATAAAGCATATAAGTTTATGCATAAAATTTGTAGATACTCATTGAAAAAAGGATCGAATATATAAAAACGATACGATTTAGTATCTTTGTTAGATTGTTTGTAGTCTCTACAAAGATTAATAATTAATGTAACGTCTCAAGAGGTTGCTGCTGAGAACAACTTAATCTTTGATATACGTTTTAACGGAGGAAAACATTGCGTAGAGAAGGACGAACACTTCAATTTATGGTCGGAGATTCGTCATAATGTAGTATCATTTTCATAATAATGTTATCTTAATTACGCACGTCTCTTAAATAAACGATGTATCTGTAGTGTAGATTTAGGGTGGAAACAACCTTACGATGTAGGCACTCAAGGCATGCCAATTGGTACTCACCCTGTAAATGCCTCGCGGCTTCCAACTGGGCTGCATGAACATAACAGACGAAATTTCTCTGTTTAATCATGAGAATAAGGAGCAAAGCATATACACTCGATGTAAATGTAGATCTCGCTTTCATCTAGCATTAATGGTTATAGAGGAATAATAATAATTCTTTGACAATCGTATCTATCAATTTAACGATAAGTTAATTACCTGTGCGATATAAATGGAAAGAATGAATGAAAGAAAAAAAAGGAACATCCTCTCTTATATAATATCTTTGTAATCTTCTTATATAAGACCTTAAATACCTTCATTATGCTAAATTTGAAAGTTTTATTTAAAACGCTTTTAAAATTTTTCTTTTAGGTCAGTTAGAAAACTAAATGTATATAAGTTCTTAATAAAAGTAAAGTCTAATGTAAAAAGATTCTTTTGTCCTTTTTTATCTACAAAAAGTTATTCGAAGTATTAGATGTGACATAAACGTCAACGTGTTAATTTAGGAAGGTCATGTGTTTTTGTAAAGTTTATGTATGACGTTAGACGTTTCTCTTTTTTTTTTACGATAACACGCGGCTAATTAACGCGAAAAAAGAAACAATTATGGTTTATTATTTCATAAATTTTTATAATAGTGACTCGTGTCTTTTGTTACTTTTATAGTTTGCCTATATTTCAACGTCCAAATTTGTCTCATTAATTTGTCATTCTCCGGTGTATAGTTTCCTTTCGAGAAGTTCCAAACTCTCAAGTAATTTTCGCTGTATCAAAGAACTTCTCTTTTTTTTTCCCTCATCCCTACTCCCTTTACTATCCCATTCTACTTGCCTGTTGTTCATCGCGAATTTATTCTTGTAGTTTCCGAAGGAACATGGAATTTCTCAGAAAAATCTCTGAAGACACAGTTCTGCGGTATCTCAAAGTCTCCCTAACGTGAAATTAAGTAACCGATAAGAATCTCATTGAACGTTATTTTCGGAGTAATCTCATTAGAGTAGTTTTTAGTGTAGTTAATAAGGATGGTTGCAAAATTTGTTACTCGATGTTAATGCTTTCTCTTTAATATGGAAAGTGAATTTTTTTCTCCCTTTCTTCTTTTTTTTTTTTTATTTTATAAATAACAATTACGATTTTAATCAACTTATCTCATAGACATGCAACGAACACAATAGAACATTGATTAAATGAAATATTAATTGTTTGAGAAATTAATAACTTTATCACCTATAACAAATGTATATTTTTTTAATTAACAAATATTAACTTTTACTGCAGTTCGTATTAAAAATTTATTTGATTATCCAAGAATTACTCAACGATTATTAATTATCGGAAATATATTGTCGTCCTGACATTATTTCGGATAAGATCAATGTTCTACCGTATTAATTCTCAAATTCTTTAAAAAAGAATGGTTTATTTCGTTCAAAAAGAATTGTTTATTTCGTTCCACTTTCTAATCGTGTATATAGCCAAGGAAGAAAATCTTTGAATAAAAATAGAATACGTATCGCACCGTAGGGAATAAATAATGGTTTATGCGATAACGAGTGAATCTCAGGCAACATGCTACTTACCCTTTTCTCATTTTATTTGTGTTCTAATGTTTCACTCGTGTTCCTTTTCTTTGATTCATTCGCATCTCCTTTCTAACATGAAGAACTGATGTATTCATGCGCATGAAGTCACAACTTGCACTTTGAAATTACATTCCGAACGATATAGATCGTTTTAAACCGTTTCTAAACCATTTTATTTCTTCACGTTTTACACGTAAAATCATTCGTACGTACTTACATGCCTTATTTCTTTTTTATATTTATCACAGATAAATTTTATACAAGATCAAGTATTAATTATAAATTATTTTCACGTGAAATCGTAGATAGACGATTTCTTATATATTTATTTATTTAATAAAATTTTATATTTAATATATTTTCAATTTGAAATTGGTGAAATAAAAAAAATAAAATAAAAAGAAAATTAACATTAAGTCAATGTTTCTTCCGGTCATTGTACCTTTCCAAGGAGCTCGATTAAGATCGAGGTAGAAGGGTTACCAACGATCCCTCTTCCTCGTTAAAATAAAAGCTAAGGGCAACAAGGACGACGAGGCAGACGCTCGCGTTTAAAATATTTAAGCTCGATCCGCGCGCTCGTCTTAGAGAAGAAAACTACCGAATTAAGCGTTACTGTCGGCCTGAGAAATCGCTGTAAAAGAGAGAAAGAGAGATAGAGAGAGGGAAGAAGAGAGAGAGAAAAAGAAAGAGAGAGAGAGAGAGGGAGAGAGAGAGGAAGAGGGAGAGAGAGAGAGAGAGAGTTAGAGTTAGAGAGGAGACGACAATGGAAGCAGTCTGCTTAGAAATTCGTTGAGTTGGTGTCTGTCTGGAGTCTAGCGCCCGAGGAGTCGCATGAGAGAAATAGTGAGTTCGTTAGGGCGCATAAGAACTGAGATTCTTAGGAAAGAGGATGAGAGAAGAGAAAGAGGAAAAGAAAGAGAGTATGTGTGTGTGTGTGTGTGTGTAAGAGAGAGAGAGAGAGAGAGAGAGAGAGAGGCGAGGAAAGATCAGCTAAATGCTGACGATGCATCACACGTTGTTACGATGTGCAGTTCCTTTGAAATCGGTGAGTCATATCGTAAGGAACACGCTCGTTAGAGCCGAATATTCGTCTCTTTGATAAAATCATATCAGAGACGTAAAGTCGACGATCGGAAATTATACGTAAAGAAGAATGTCAAGATATCATTCAAGGGTACTTTCTCATTCAATAACGATTGAGAAGCGATATATCTATTCTATTATCATAATCTTTTCCTAAATTCTTTTTTTTTCTTCGTCTTTTTCTTTCTTGATCATTTCGACGAGAATCATAAAGATGATCGATCATTTGTTATAATATAGAAACGGATGTAATCATTTTCAGATAGGTAGGAGAATTCATAATATAAAATGAAGTACACTTTGAGAGGTCGAATTTCATGGTATCTCGATTTCAGAGTACCTTACCGACGACTTTGTTGGCAAGGAACTCGAGTACTACCTTTCTCATCCTTCTCCTTTTCTGTATGTTCGGCTCGCGTATCGTGTGTGCTACGGTTATCTTACGTGAGTTCGCATCGTGAGAAGCTCGATTTCCCCGAGGAATACAGAAACCAATTTCTAGGCTGCCTACTACACCGCGACCGTCCGACCGACCAAACGTTCGACCGACCAGGTGAGAGACAGAGACTCAAGAGAAGGGACGAAAGTGGCTGAGGGAGTTTGTATCTCGTGAAAAGCTTGTCGTATAAGGGGACGAGAGATATTTCAGTTAAGTGTTTGCGTGTTACGTGAGTGTACCAATCGTCTGAATAAGAGTTGGCTATATTCGTACTGTCAAGAATACACAATCTTGAAATTTTAAGAAGGATTAGTAATCTTTGATATAATATTCTTTACGATCGTTTTCAATTTGTAAATAAAATTTCTATATTTCCCATGAATTAATTCGATGTATCGTATTTCTTGTCGATTTTAATTTCATTTTTCTTCCGGTTTGATCGTCACAATATGAATTTATGAAAAATACGTCGACTTACATCGTAGCCAGAGAATTCACCCTTGCCCGGCGGTCCAGGAGGTCCTTGAGCTCCCTTTTCACCCGGTATTCCATCTCTGCCTGGTTCACCTTTTTGTCCTTGAGGACCTTCGGGTCCAGGTATTCCTATATCTCCTTTGTCACCTTTTGGTCCAGGTGGACCTTGTAATCCTCTTTCTCCGGGTGGTCCTGCTGCACCCTATACCAGAAAATATCTTTAAATGATCGATAATCGATTTGTTTTTTTTTCTTCTTTCATAAAGAGGATCAATCCATCTTATTTCATTACTTATAGTTGAAGAATTTATTATACGTACAGTTAGACCCATTTGTCCTTGCTTTCCTTCCTTTCCAGGAACACCTGGTTCACCTTTCGGTCCTTCGATCATTTTTGGCATCGTAAAGGATGTCATCAAGGCCGTTGCATTACATGTACATTCACCTGGTTCTCCTTTAGGACCCGCTGGACCGTGTGGTATTTTTATTGGCCAATCCTAAAAAAAAAAAAAAAAAATAAAAAATTAGATTAATGAAAAGGCAACGAAGTATCAAGAAAAATTTTTTGTCGAATCGCGAAGCGAATTCAATGGCAAATGGAACGTATTCATATATCGAATAGCTATGATGCCAATACGAGTGTTATGCACAGTGTTTCCTGATATGCGCTACGATATTCTCACGCTAAATCAATTCGCTCGAATAATCAGATGAATGACTGATCACGAATACGAACGTGTCATATCCGTGTACCGTAAATACGAACATCACGTATTATCGACGTACCAATGACTTATATAACGTCATGACCATAAGGGTTCAATGGAACGTAGTTATTTATTAAGGCATACAGAAAAAGATACGTTTCATTTTTTTTTACCAATTTTAGGATTGGGAATTAACGTGTAATTCTTTATTTAATTTATCACAGTTATATCTCGGTTAGAGGTATATAAATCAAGGTTTTACAGAAGGTATTAAAAAAGACTATAGACTAAACGAATTCCGAGGATCAAAAGTTTTTTGGCAAAATTTCAAGAGAGTTTTATCGCAGTATCTACAGTGTGTATAAAAAAATATGTGTCATATTAATATATAATTTTTATACACGTTATATATATGTATAACAGATAAAGATGAGATTATATTTATTATTGACTTTATCGTACTTTTTGATAATTGTCGACTTAGAGAACATTTCTTTCAATATACAAATACTATTCTTTTAACGGAATCAATAAAAAAAATTTTGCACCTCATCATTTGGATCATATCCAGGTCCAGGTGGTCCAGGAGGTCCTGGTGGTCCTCGAACGCTTTCGCCCTTATCTCCTTTTTCACCTTTCTCACCTTTCGGACCTTTGTCTAAAAGAAAAGAGATATTCTGAATATTTTATTTTTATTTGGAACGGCATTCACCGATCTGCGGGACTTGGGCATTGCCCTCTTTTGAATTTCTTACGAAAGATATTATTTCACAGAAAGCTACAGCTGCGGCTTTATGTAAATGCTATTACTCACAGTCTGGATTGGGAGGTGGAGGTGTGATGAACGGCGGTGGGTTGCCTTCCTCGTTTTTATCTTCGTCGTATTCTCGATCGATCTGCGAAGGAATAATGGAGAAAAATCGATAACGTAAATATATGTGCACGCGTTTTATTATCAAGAAAAAAAGATCATGAATTTGACAATATTACGATTTAAAATAGTTGCTCGTTCCAATTTAATTTCACGCTTTAATTTACGTATTTATGCACATATAGATATATAATAACAATTAGACGTTAAGATGATTATGAAATTGGTTATTAATTAAGCGCTTATATTATTTTGCAAATTTGTTTGATTAGTAAATCGTATTAGACTTTGGTATTAACAATTCCCATATAAAACATTCATTCGTATCATTAAAAAATAAGCAAATTGAAAATGTTAAAAGCCATATCGGTTTAATATGAAATAATGAAGATAGTAGGTTGTATTAGACTTTGGTATTAATGATTCCCATATAAGATATTCATTCGTATTGTTAAAAAATAAATAATTTGAAAACGTTAAAAGCCACATCAGTTTATTATAAAGTAGTGAAGACCGTACGTCGCATTTTCGCTGAGGTTACCACTCGATGGATGCTTTTAAAGCGAGCACATAATATTAGACACTGACGGTGATTAATGAAGTTTCAGGCAAATCAGGCGGTCGACTGTACGGTTAGCACACACGACACCTGCCCTAAGTGTTTTCCAATAATTATTAGTAATGGCGCGGTTTTATCGAAGGGGGTAGTCGTCCTTCGTTCGACATTTTTCCGTGATCGACGGACATTATTGGGAAAATATCAATGATAGAACGAATTTGATCGTTAATTTTTAAAAAATTGGATTATGAATGATGAGTAGGATTTAAAATAAAAATTTATTATATAATTTTGCTGGGACATGTACATCATTAAACATAGTTTTATATATTTTTTTACAATTTTTGTTATATTTTCAATATTAGTATTTCATGCAAATTCACATACTCAAATTTTTATTAGAAATATGCTTTCTTTTTATATTATTTTTCTCTTTTTTTTCTTAACTACGCATATATACAAAAAGAAAAAAGAAAATAAAACTTTTCGAAAAGATTCCTAACCGGATAGTTAAAATCATGACCATGCACCCAAGCATTCTTCTTCCCTATAATTCACATATCTACTTTACCGCAATGCTGCATTGTCGCCCTTCGAATCATTGACATTTCAACAGAACGTTTAACGAGCAACATTTTTATAAAAAATTCATATAAAAAAAGTTGCGTCAATTAAAATTATATTTCATATTAGAAGGCTTAAGATATAAATATAAAAAATTTATAAATAAAATAATTGCACGATTATAATTAACGATCACGGATAATCGTCAGTTCATGTAATTGCTTGATTATCTTTGTAATTTATTAAGTACTAATCAACCACGTTCCGACAATATAGAATAGCAATCTGGTTTGTAATTCGTCGTTCGTTTGATTTTCTCTTTCGACTATCAGAGGTAAACATTTTCGTTACGCGAGTTCCGTTGCCATTGTTAATTTTGTGTTTTCCTACATGCTAGAGTGACGTATGTGTAGATAGATATAGATAGACATACATACAAAGATATACGTGTAAACGATACTTGAACATAGAAATCCCTTCTTTGAGGCAATAAAAACTTCGTATAATATTATTTTTATATCATTCGTATCCTTATAAGAAGGGGAGAAGAAATGATTGAAAGAGACGGAATATCTTACAATATAAAGATAAAATAAAATTACAAAGTCAAAGTTAAGTCCTAAACACAAGGAAAGTTGAAAAAAGTTTTCTCTCGAAATCGGTCGAAACGCTCTTTCTCATCCTTAGCTTTATTTTTCAACCTAAAAAAATCGAAGAGCATGACGAGACAAATTCTATGACGAGACTGAAAGAGCATGACGTGTCTTTGTCTACTAATAAAGCTTATTCCGTTAGCTTCATTGATCCTCGATGGTGGTCGTTAACAGGACATTCGAGAGACGTATCGTAGATAGTAACAGTCAGGATGAAGAGAACATATCTTAGATAGGAAGGTGACCGCAAACCATCTTCCAATCCGTCCTACGAAGAAATGCATCCATTCCTATCGGCGTCTAGTGAAATTGGATTGGCTTAATGAATTTATAGTGCAGCTGCAAGTTTAGGAAGTGGGTCGATCCAAAGACAGGTTCATCAAAACGCTATTGGCTCAGGACGTTTCTTGCACCATGTTCTGTTCTGATTCTCGTGACGAAATCTCAGATGCTTCGCTTTTAATGAAAATATCCATGTTACCCTCTATTAATCATTATTACTTTAGTTTTGGAATCATTGAATTCTTTTTAATTGACCATGAGATATACAAAGCAATTAGTTTGGATAAAATAATTATTAGATTCTTTCATTAAATAATATTTTTCTAATTGTAATATATATGAATTACTTTTTTATATTAATGATTTGCGTCTGTTAATCTTATTTTTGAATTATATATCATCAAAGTTTTCTTTACACTTAATCAACAAATAATTAAGTCATTTAATAATAAAATTACTAAACAGAAAGTTTTATTTGTTCAATCGATCTATTCTCTAAAAGAAAATTGTTAAAATGTTTCGTACGTCGAAGTATTTTCGTTATAATACAAATTTCGATCGACAAAAATCGCATTCGTATTCTTATCGCCAGCCGTTCTGAACGAGCCCTTAATTCTGCGCGCGTCGCATCAGATGGCACATGGTGTTACAATCGACTTCGTAAAGCGAGCAATCGAATGCACATAAAAATGAACGCGCGTGACATTGCCTGCAGAAAGATTTGATTTGAAAATTCGTGAGACCGAGTGAAAATCTCGAGTGAAAATGGGAAGATTTTTTTTTTTTTATATATTTAAACATTCTATCAAATTTTTAATCACGTTCGGACAATGTTACTTATGGTAATAATAATTCGTTGATTTTATTCAAACAGAGATAATTTTTTTATTTTCAAATTTATCTAGACTTTGAATTAAAATGGCGAATATTATTTCGAATGAAACATATTTATTCATTCGAATTAAAAATTTTTAAGTTTTATAAAGATATACGAAAAATGAGAAGCCTTAGACATGATAGAATATATATACATACATATGAAGGTTTCTCATCTTATGAATACTACAAAAAGCAATAATTAGATGACGTTATCCTGTTTACTCGGAGTTTACCTCATGGATTTCAATTTGCACATGTCCATCTTGATGTCCAGCAAATTAAATTGTCCTTATTCCAAAGGATGCGCATGATAGCGGTCGGAATAGAGATCAGTCTGGAATCTCTCACGGTGACCTTACTTTATTAAATTATCATGGTTGAAGGAGGAAATTGTGCACGCGCGATCGACCAACTAAACAGTATTGTAATTAAATATTAGTTTCTCGTATAAGGAATTACTTTTGTTAATTTTCTATAAAGTTAAATGATTTTAGATTAATGAATGTTTAAATTGTACAAAGGATTGTGTCTTATTGTTAAAGATACAAAATAACAAATATAAAATATTCAATTAATATTAAACCTTGTAAGAAAGTCAATGGGAAAAAATTTAATGGAGTTAGTACATCTTTTTGAATTTAGTTAGTGAATTTTGGTACACGTGATAGAGATCCGTAAACTTCACTCGGATTAAGTCAAACTCCATAATGACTGGGGTGGATATTGAAGCATGAGATCCGTAGTAAAGTCGCCATTGCGAAATCCTAACAGCATTCGAAGATTATCCTTTCAGTATTTACGAGATTATCTTCATAACCCAATTCCTAGATTTCTCTGTCTCTTACGAGACGATTGACATCCTTTTGAATGAATCCTTAGTAGGATGTCGTTCTTCTTTGAGGATTATTATTTGACAATCTAAGTTGAAAGCTTCATTTCGATAAACCGGTGTGGCATGTTTTAGTCAAATTAAAAGCGAAGCTCGATTAATAGGAATTTTAAAATTCGTTTTACTTAATAATTATTGCAATTCTTCCAATAATTATAGAGAATAGTTAATTGTTTCGATAAGAAATATCCAGTTTAGTAGGTTATCAATTTCGTTAGTAAAAAACGGCACACAACATAAAAAGCTGTAGAAAATTTTTGTTAGTACGAATGTTGTAAAGTTCAAAAAAGGTATAATTTTTATTTAGTAAAACTTTTATTTAGTAAAATTTTTATTTAGTAATTTTTATTTAAAAAAGAAAAAAAAAAGAAACTTTGAACTCTTGTCTACCTTATCCAAGTCAATTTCTGCCATAACACTGAATGTATCGACATCCTGATCTCCGGATCCAAATTCTCCGTCTGAGAGAAACTATAAAGAGAATATTACATTAGCCAGTTTCGAAATACTATAGTAATCGCGCTTATAACTGCTCGTCCCGTTTCTCTCCCTGCGACGTCCTAATTATAGTTTCATAGCTTCGAAATTCTTCGATATCGCACGATGTAGCAGCGCATTAAATTAGACGATAAATCGTTCGCGTATGTCGTGGATGTTCATCGTATTAGATTGCATCCTGTACAGCCGAGATACAGCTGGCGAAGTTAATGCGTTCTTGAACATAAAGTTGGCCATAGTGTTGTCGAAAATTGGATACTTGCAAGTTTATGATCTTCAGCTTAACCCTACTGAATTATCAACTTTGTAATATACAACGAGTGCCTCGTTGTTTCTACGTTTCTTGTAGGATATTCATCTGTCTAGGTAATGATTTCACTCATGATAATCTCATTCTACCTCTGTTTGGAATATTAAATGTTAATTATACAACGTTACTAATTACAACGTTTCTAAAGTCTACATTTTCGCGTTGTTTGGATTACAACATTAATGTAATATCATAAATATATTCTCTAATATTTCTCTTCAATCTCTTTTTCACATCGTTGATCATAGAATAATATAAGAGAAATATGTAAATTGCTTAAACAGATATTACCAATGCTATAATTTGTGTAGACGGAACATACGAGTTTCACAGGATGATTCTCTACTTGTAAAAGTAACTTAAATATCTTAAACAAAATGATTTATTAAATTTCAACTAAAAGTTACGTATTCTGCGTTTTTCATTTAATAGATTTATAATTTAAAGAGTGATGCAACAGCGTAAGCTAATTATACTCTGGTGGTAGCGGGTATATTGAATTTCGTCGAAATTTGTTTAAAAAATTAGTGGTATAACCGAGACAAGCACTCATGAATATTACACATAGAGATACTCCCTCGTTCGGACCACTCTGTAGTATATTAATATGATCATAGTGAAATATCGCATATGCTTTTCGTTTATGTGTATGGAACGGAATCGAGTTAAACTTTATCGCATTCCAGTGATTTCTGATTTGGCACGTGCTCCTCTCAATTATTCAAATTCTCTGCTTGCATTGCTTCACGGAGAGGAGATACTCTGCACATTTCGAAAGCTAAACTTTGCGAAACGTGAGTACGTAATTACTTGAAGATCTATTTTCGGCTGACTTGAAAACGTCATCGAAAAATAATTTATGCTTTTAAGGCTAACAATAACATGAAATATTAATACTACTTATTCCACATTAGCTATTATTTCATAATAATAATGCTATTTATTGAATTGTAACGCTATTTATTTAATAGAAATTGGTTCATCACTATCTATGAAGTTATTTCAAAATAAAAAGAAATCGCCGACTATTATTTTCAAATGTAATAATATTATGTTAATGTTATTAATAATGTTAGATCGGAAGATAATTCTTTAACTTATTCCTTTATTGTGCCAGATAAATAATCAAATATTTAATACTCAGCAAATCCATACTTTAGCATATTTGATACAAACGAATCTGAAAAAATTAACTCTTTCTGTTGAATAATAAATATAGGTTTATAAATTGCTATTCACACACATACACACACACACAGAAGAAGGATACACTCGATCTCGATCACGAAATGATCGAAAATATCTAACGTTATCGCCCAAGAAAATATTATTTTTATTATTGATTAAATTATAAAAGATATGAACGTGAAATATCAGTAACTATGAACGGGCTTTATTTACGATAAGTTGAACAAATCGTAAGTGGTTGAGAAGTTAAGAAAGTTCTCACAATCAATCGATCTTCTCTTTCGTCGATCAGTCTTTCGCGTTGTATCGGTGAAACAAAGTGAAAATAATTCGTCAAATCTTTTTTCGAATCTATCTTAATTGTGAACTTAGTGAATTGATCCTATGCTTGTTTTTCAATTCGAAGATTTTAACTTCGTCTTTTTTTTTTACCATTTTCATAATTAACCTTTCCCTATTCCATCCTTCCCTCTTTCCCTCTTCCCCTTCGAGATTAACGCTTTACTAAATTAATTACGATACGTTGGCAATCTAATAAATTACTTACTTTGATGAAATTACTTTGTTCACCGACTTAAAGAAAAACGCGAGAGTCTAAAACAAAGGAGATTAATGATGAGACGCAAATTGTAATATTCTATGATATCCTTGCGGAAGGTGCATGACAAAACGTCAAACCATCAAAAACTTTTGGAAAAAAAGATCGTGGAATAGTTAAAAGATAATTAAAATTAATTTCCTTATCTAAATAATGTCTTTCAGAGAATGACGCTCGATTAAAGCGAGATGTCTTATGACTACAGTGTTCTTCTTGGATTTTAGTTGGAATACGATTGTCCGATATGAATTTGGAAGCCGAAGCTGCGTCGTGGAAAAAGTTTAATTAAATGATCTTAAACTTTCTCAGTCTAACGATGCGAAGAACGAGGTGCAGCGTAGACGAAATACAAACGTTTATGAAGAATGATTTTAGAAATGAGAAAAGATAAAAATATTCATTATATGTTGTAACGATAATAATAATAATGATGATGTTGATGATGATGATGATGATGATGATGATGATGATGATAATGGCATTACTCATATAAAAAACCTACAAGAGTATAATCTTTATGATTAAAATGTTAAGTAGTAAACTGAAAAATTAACTCGACTGTCTCATCTGGAGTTTAGAAACTTAGCTCTTAAATGTTTAATATTATTTTATCATTTAATTGTACGTCAGCTCTGGTAAAATGATTAATTTTATACTTTATTTCACTGTCTATTATCTTCGTTTTATCGTTTCTCTCCTTTTTTTTTTTCTAAATCATTTTGAAAATCATTATCTTGATACAATAATTTTTAGAGAAAAACAACAGTCGGTGAACATTTCTGTTTTGCCTTTTTTTGAATTTATCTTTTTTATATTTCACCTATGAAAAACGTTGAAGTTTTGATAAAAATCTAATGAAAGTTTTTCCAATCCGTTTAACTTCTCGCTGTATTTACCTCATTACGTATATTTTCGAAGTTTCCAAAAGTTTTTACAATATTTCGAACTTTTTCCTTTATTTCCCAAATAAACGCAATAAACAATGTAATTTATTTTATGTGCTTACCAATCAGAATGATACGTTTTTGAAAAATGGTATGTTTTTTTTTTTTTCTAAATTATTTTATAACTATAAGTGCGCGCATGTTACGTCCTATCTTTTTACAACGAAGTATCGTGAATTTCACATGGTTGTGTGTGCATGTATGTGGTGTTATACGAAACGATGAATTTTAGTTGGCCCAGTTTGGATTTTCCAGTACAGACGATTGAAAGAGATTTATGTCAGCTGTCGTTGTATCAGATGAAAAAAAATCAGATTATTCTTATCGTATATTCGAAATTTAGTTAGCGAGAGAGACAGAGAGAGAGAGAGAGAGAGAGAGAGAGAGAGAGAGAGAGACTCGAATTTTATTGGAAAACGGACATGTTATAAGCAGTAGTATGTATTATTTCGCATATATTTATTTTGGTTTTTACAAATCGATATTGAAAAATTTTAATTTAGTTTCCTTGTTTGTACGTATCTATGCGTTTGTAAGTATTATATGTATATGTGCGTATGTATTATATGCATATATGTGCGTGTGCGATATCTTTCTATGGGATTGTTGTAACGACTCGTATTTGTCACCATCGATATAACATTGATTTTAGTTCTATCATGTGATTTTTTAGAAAGGACGTATAAGCTTTTAAGATTTCGGTTATAAAGTATTTGAAAGTCGCGTAACAGACATTATAATTCTTTAGAATGTTTCCATCTTTCTTTTTCCTTTCCTTTCTCTCTTTCTCTCTCTCTCTCTCTCTCTCCCTTTCTGTCTCCTTTCTCTCTTTCTCCCTCTCTTTTCTTTCAAGACCTTTTCTTCATTTCCGTTCTGCTCTTCTTTTCTTTTTTTTTTCTTTTCTTTTTTTCTCTACCAGCAGAAACGTATTTAACGTCCCATGAAATTAGAACCCTCGACACCTTTGAGAGAATGAGAAGCGCGAAATTTCTCTCTTCCAGTTGCTTGCGATGACTTCGAAGAATATCTCTTTCTTTTCATTTTCTTATTTATTTCTCTACCTTCCTTTTATAGAAGAGATATACGTGGATGACATATGCAATTATATTCCTTTCTATCGAATGTTCGGTTCTTTCTTCTTCTTTCAAATTAATTTCATTTATACGTCGTTGTTTGTAACGAGTTTTGTTGTAATGTCAAGTTGAAAAATGTACCGAAAGGGACGAGTTAAACAACAACCTCCATTTACCAAAGAAAGTAGGACAAATTATAATTGTTCTAATTGAATCGTCTGCAGAGCATGTTATGAAACTACGCACCGGCTATGCCAGTGAAACAATTTCATTTTTCGCCAACCATGAATCGTTAAATGGTGTTAGTAAAAAATTCTTTAAATATTTTTCGTTTATAATTGGAATTAGAACGGATTTCAATGGTACGAGGTTGATATCAATTGTAACAGAAGAACGTTTATATGTTGTGAAAGAACTAAGTACGTGAGCCTCGCATATATTGCTTTAGTTAGTGGGATCACGTACGAGAAAGATACATGCGAATTTCGTGAGGTATATTCCGAGTCTAAAAAAAACTTTGTTAGGGTGTTTGTTCTTTTGAGATTAATTAAATAATTGAAATATTTGTTTACTTGTATATACTTATTTATAATTACCATTTATCAATTTGTTTCGATTTGTTTTGAACCATTTTGTTTTGCATCATAGATATTGTAATATTTATTTATTAATCGAATATATTTTTACTATGATATTTTACTTTTAACTTAACTCTTGTCGGTTTCCTTTTTAGAATCATTTCATTCTCCACGCTTTTGCCGATCCGCTAATGTTGACTTCTTTTTTTTCGATCCCAAGCGAATTGCCAGACACAGCCATGTCGAGAACGACATGCCGCCGGCTCAGACATGAATTTGGAT